ATCATCGGTATCAGCTGTTGATGATAAATTAATCTGTTATTAGAATTCGAATATTTAAATCGTCGGATTCATAATGGTTGTCAACATATTATTTTGTTTTTCAATGTTAAAAAAAGCGAATTAATTCTCCGTCAAACTGTCGACGGTCATCAACGTGGTGGTATAATTTAAAGGCTATTATATTATATTATAATCGGATAGTGTAAAATGAAAACTAATGCCGATAAAATTTTTTTTTAAAAATGAACGCATTATTTTTGGTTTTGTTTCAGAGTTCACCTACCCCGTTAATCGCTTTGTTTAGACTAGTTGTTTTGTCTTTGTCTTACTCCGAGTATGTAAAATACTGTCACCGTTTTTAAATTATAAATTAACGAGAGAAAAAATATCAACAAAACTTAGTTCTTTACTCGAGTTGGCCAGTTACCAAAAACGCATTTCGCGTTAAAATCGTAAAAGATTATATGTTTTCCGTTTAAATCTACACATACCATCTCCGTGGATTCCGGTCGGTAATTTTAATTTAAAAAATAGGGTTAAGGCCAGGAGGTCCACAATAAAAATGCCAATACGTTGTACAAAATAAATATAATATATTATAATGTCTACCTTATCTACAAATAATAAGTCTATCATTGAAAATACCTCCTTAAAAAAAATTTATATGAAATAAACTAACATTTTTTTCAATGTATATTTTCAGTCCATGGACAATTTCTTATAAATATTATATAATTTCTCCTCTTTCTTTATATGACTGGTAATTATCAACCATTCTCGCTGAATTGAGATAATTTTGACTGCCTACGATTTTTTACTCTATTGTAGTATTCGTAGAAGAACTTGCATTTCTGGCATCAATACAATCTTAGTTTCTTACTGCGGCCTATCCTTCTTGCACGATTGCCGTGGCTGGTGGTAGTTTATTAGGAAATTCAGCCGACTGTTTATTAATTATTAATACAAGAGCCGAGGCTCTTCTTACTTCAACTCCTGCTTGTGGATTTTGATGGGACCTTTTCGTTATATGTACCGAATAATTACAGACATACAAGTAGACTTAAACAATTATAGCCTTATTAAAGTAGATCTACTGTCTGTCAGTAGACCTCATAACCGTGTACCACAAAATTATATAAATAAATATAGCGTGAAAACAATATTAATAATAATCTATGTCAAACAAATTCTCTATAAAATAGTAGTAGAAACCTATGAAACCAAACCACCATCGTACAGTGGTTTTTTTATTTATTGCGTTTTAAATAATTATATTTTAATTTTTATCAATACTAATAAGGGTCATTAACCCACTTGCTCTGCCCAGCTATAACAATACAAATATTTTTTCTTATTTTCACATTTTTTTCCTCCTTTATAGTTTCTTGTTATCACCGCCGCAGCTGTTGTGGCCGTTGTTAAAAAAATGTTTTAAAAAGTTAACCTACTCAAGTCTTATTCTATTATACGTCTTGCGTATAACTATAATATATTCTACACGTTTTTTGTATACGCTTATCGTGAATTTTTAATTGAATTCTACACTTTTTTATAGACTCTTGCGTTGCCCTGGCAATGCTCGATCGGACCTTAGATTATTATAATAAAACGTTTAATAGTTAAAATGTGTTTTGTTTATTTTCAAAATATAATCGTAAATTAATTGTATCCTGTTTTTTCTTTAATACCAGATTCGTCACAAGTATAGAACTACTCGCTCGTTTGGTTTGTACGTTTAACTTTATTCTTTATAGTGAAAACTTTAATTTAAGACTAATGGATCTAATTTCTAAATCCCTTTTAAAATAACCTTAACAATCTAAACTTCAACTAATTATGCACTATATATTATAAACATCGTAGTATACATTTATCATTTATGTATATTAGACATTTTTTCAGCCTTCCATTGATTAGCTGTATTTTTGTTTTGTATCTCGATATTATATATATCGTTAGCTTAAACAAAATATGTAGCTAGTACATACAATATAATCATTTTATAGGAGAGCAGCTAAACGTTTTTCCTTTACAATTAATGTATGTTAACGCCGCCTTCTGGCGGTTGGAATTTAGACTATTTAATTTACCTCGTTTTTTCAAAGAAGATCTATTCTATTCTTTATCTGATTATACGATAAAGTCATTTTGGCCAAAATAGTATTTATGATATCTTTTTGTGCACTTTCCATATTCTTGTGTATACAATTTTGGTCAAACGCACCTTGAGCTTGTTTACAAAACTAACACTTGTACACAACATCTATAATGTAAATTATAATATATTATACCATTTTGTAAAAATGACGACGGGTCCGTTTTTTCTGAGGCATATTTGTGCAACGCTATAGTTTAAACGAGTGGTTAATGTTTATTATCGGTGTTTAAGTAAACTACTCTGCTACTAGGCCGGTACCCTCTGAGTAGTTAACGAGGGTTTGATGACCCGGTATAAATTATACAATTATTACAAACTGAATTCCCTATCGCGGTGTACTTGCCCTATGTACCTACCGTGTTATTATTCAATAAAATATGCACTGTAACGATGCTCTATTAGTGTGTGCAATTGTACAGTAGTAGTATTACTTGTACTTGTACCAATAATTAATAATAACAATAATAGTTTTAAACGTTTAATATCCTATTTCGTAACTGTATACTCGGTCGCCTCGTGCGATATAAGGTTACTCTTGCTTATTATTTGCTTATAAAATTATATTGTACTTAGTAACCGTCAAAACATGACGAAGGTGAATAATTTTTGCAAATGATCCGATTGCCACGCGAGTCACGACTCGTCTATTCGCCGAATATTCGGTATTCGTGTATATTCGCCATGATTCGTGTGTACTCGTTATTCGGTATCCGTCCTTTTCCCGCGGATTATCGGTAAATGCGACACGAGTCAAAGGGATACCAAATGTACTCGCTATACATTCGGCGAATACACGAGTCGTGGGAATCCGGCTTGACGGCTTAGGGTATCATAATAACTATAATTTTATTTCATATAATCGAAAAAAGACCTAAGTTAATTAACGGTAGTATAACACACATATTAATAAGTGAGATCTCTTGTTATATTAAGGATAAAAACGTTTTCTCTTAAATTACTCGCTCCGTTAATCACACCACGTGTACATTTATTTGGTCTATGTAAAATCGTTCTCGTTGGTTGCATTTTGAATTATTTTCTTCAATTATAGAAGGTATCTATCGATTTATGACGATCCTTTTTTGGAATTCGAAAACATAATTCTGAATATTTTTTGGAGTTATTTTTAACCTTGACTTCATTCATCATGTTCAATCAAACGAATGAAAGATTTTATAAAAATTTTCACAGATGCTTACATATTTTATGACATTTTCCTGTAAAGTATTACAACAAAAATTTAAAATCCAATTATGAAAATGTATTTTTTTATTACATAATAATTGTTTTAAAGGTATTGAGCAGAGCTATGGATTAAAGCGCGTAAGATAGATAGTATTCGACATAATTTAATTTGATCCAGCAGGTATTTTCTAGTATGACAACGAATTAAATGGAAGTTACTGTAATTTTTTTTGTTTTACATTATTTTTAATTAATTTTTTTATGAGTTATAGCGAACGTTTGTCAGAAGCCGTTTCCCGGTGTATTCTAAATGGAAAACTTAAAACTTACATTGTCTGTATTTTTTTATGAAAATAATAACTTGTTTTGCATTTATACCTAACATTTTTTTTTTTTTATTAGACGTTGTTTAGGAAACAACTTCCTAGTCTCTTCTTAGTGATTATGTTGTGTAAGACGTGAAGTAGAATTTTTTTTTAACTGCATCAGGATGCGATAATTAGAGAAAAAGTTTTACGGCATTAGCGTGTGAGTGAAGTGTAAACCCATTTTAAGAAATGTATCAAGCATCATTAATACTTGAGCAGTTAACCGTAACTAGGCCAAACGCATGGAAAGAGCTTCGTTGTTTACGGACATTACTCATAATAATTAGGGATTGGATTAGAGATTTGAACTAAACCAAAATACACCGAGATCCTTATATTGGAGGGTGGGCGACCGTGTGATGTTTTTAGTTTATTGTTAAATTGTTATTTGAATTATGTTTCCTAAAAAAAACCTCTAGGAGGGAAAAACACTTGTTGTAGGCCCCTCTATGTAATGTGCGTTTAAGTCGATAATGACATAAAGCTATAAAACAAACACATATGGGGGTTGAAAACTGTCAAAATTATTTTTAATTTATTATTAAACGTTTCCCCTATATCTGTTACGACTGATATGTGAATAGAGTAAGACTAAAAAAACAATTCAAATAAAGCATGTTCTCTCCTCGACGTTTTATTATGGGGTTTTTTTTACGGTCGTCAACGACGCCGTTAATTGCATTAAATATATATTTTTTTTTACCTCTTTAGGTGGATGGGGGAATAAAGTTCAGGCCGAGAAATTACATTTAATCCAGAACATTAAAAATAGTTTTGATTTAAACTAAAACTTTAAAGATAAAAATAAGTTTTAAGATAATAAATTTTTGTGTTGTCAAATTTGATTAATAAACGATGCATTATAACTATGTGAGATATTAAATGTACTCTGCATAAGTGATATGGGCAAGTTATTGTTTTATACCATTTTATTTTTAACACAAAATATGTGTATTATGTAGGTCAATAAGTTATTTAGCTTTATGCCACAAGAACCAAAGATTTGTATTTTTCGCTAAACCCGAAAGTGGCATCTTAATATTAATCCCTCAATTTCGGATTCAACATACAAAAAAGGAATATACAACATAAAATATATTAACATTTTATACTTTAATATTGAGTCAACTAAAAACTAAAAATGTTACAAACTTATTTGTTATAAGTCAGTTTGAGCGGCGTATCAATTAAAATTTCCCCAACCCTATTTTAATGACCACTCTTAATGTATATATGCATGTTAACAGTTGTAATATTAACGTTATTTTTTTTGTTTTTGTCCTATTCAGATGATACTTCATGTTATGATGAAATTCTGATACGCTAACGTGAAGACTACCCCCAGTTAGATACTGTTGAAGAACAGCACCTTATATAACTGCTGCCGTTGTTTACATACTATCGCAAACATGTCTCAGAACAACGGACAATCGCAGAGGTTCTGTCTCAGATGGAACAACCATCAATCCAACTTGCTGGCCGTTTTCGATCAGCTGCTGACCAGCGAAGCGTTTGTAGATGTCACGTTGGCCGTCGAAGGGCAAATGCTTCGAGCACACAAAATGGTCCTTTCGGCGTGTAGCCCATATTTTCAAGTACTAGTCTTTTTATACCTATCTGTAGCTTTTAGATCTCCTCACTTTAAAAAAAAAAAAATGATCCTTTAGTAACTTTTTTCGTTCATGGTAACCTATCTCACTTTTTTGAAATCATTGGAAGCCTTTTTGTGGCTAAAAAAATATTTAGAAAAATCTGCGATGCTAACATCAAATTGTAGTTCTCTTTGGTAAGAGGTACCAATTATCATTTATGTTATATACATATATAATAATTTATAGTTTATTAAGGTATTTTTGGTTAATTATTTAATTTTAAAAATTTTGATATTACAATAAAAAAAGAACTTGTTTTTTTTTTTTTTTTTTCTTATTAATGAAATTAACATAAAATTTGGTCACTATCTGGCCAGTGATAATAACCGAGTGCTGATTATTTATACATTTCCCTTGTTTAATATTGTTTTTTATTTTGTTTTTCCCCGTATAGACCCTCTTTGTTGGACATCCCGACAGACATCCGATTGTGATACTCAAAGATGTACCTTTGGTCGATATGAGATCTCTGTTAGACTTTATGTACAGAGGCGAAGTAAGTAACCGAGTTTTTCTACACAATGGACTAATTTAGACTAATATTATTTTTATTCTTCAGGTCAGCGTCGATCAAGACCGATTGGCCGCCTTTCTCAAAGTTGCTGAATCATTACGGATCAAAGGGCTAACCGAAGTGAACGAAGACCGCGGTGACCTGCCTTCGTTGGCTTCTTCTCTACTGCAATCTCACTCGTCCTCTCCGTCCTCTTCGCCCAGCCACAACAACCAGATGGGTCACGTGCCCCAACTGCAACGCATCCACAACCTCAACCCCATGTCGTTGAAAAGGCCTCTGCCGTCACATCCCCTACACGATCAACAGCGTCAACAACTTTCATACCCGATGAACCCGCTGTTAGGGTCAGCGTTGACGGCTCCAAAAAGAAAACGTGGACGTCCCAGGAAACTGTCTACAGGAAGCAATTCACCTTCTCGACCTAATGATAACAACAACGACGATAGCAGAGCATCCACACCAATTGGCACCAGTGCAGGTGAGTCTATCCAACATAATCTATATTCAGTGGCGCCGTAGTGAAAAATACTGTTTTACAACATGAACAGATAAATGTCCTGTAAACGGGTTGGCTTTATCGATCTTACATTTTTGTTAAATACAAATTATTCATGCGTCTTATTCATGAATAATTGTTTCATTAGTCTTTGTTATTGTTCATTCGGTTGGCCATGATTAAAAAACGAATAATTAGTTATTTAAGACTTTTAATTCATTATTGGATTGGTTTTTGCACATCTCTGCTCGTAGAAAATTAAACTACGGCGCCGCCTTGCTACTTGTAAGTTCTCGATGTAGAATGGTTAGTTAAGTAAAAGTATTAGATAATTTAGGAAGTGGCCGTGATCCACCAGATTTACTGGAATTGAATATGTCGGAAGAATCGGAATCAGCTGCGGCTGCACCAAAATATTATGACTCTCCCAAAGAAGAAAACACACTAGAGGGCGAAGACTTGGAAGAGGAATATGCAGAAACAGAAAACGGAGTGGAGATCAAACAAGAACCTTGTGATCCGATGCCAGGCACTTCCCAAGGTAGACTTTCTGTTTATCCTTAGAAATAATTTGTAAGTCACGTTAATGTTTTAATTTACAGATTTAAGTACATCAAAGACAGACCACGATTCTAGTATGCAGTTAGACCAAAGCGCATTTGGTGAGTTTTTTTAATTTTTCAAAGATTTCCACCAAAATCATTGTTGTTTGAATTTTCATAGCTTAAAGCTTTTGACGAAAAAGTTAAAATTTTAGTCGAACATATTAATATCGGCCATAATGTAATGTTCGGTTCGAATAACGTGTGATAATTTAGCGCTAGTAAATTAACAATCAGATGGGACACCTTCCTCTTTGTTTTTAAAATATTAATTTTCAACTTCATGATAATATTTATTAAAATTTATTTTATGTTTTTAAATCAAATTTCTTTTGGTGGATAAAAAAAATAATGTTTTGCAAGAGAAAGGTTTCGCATCTGGTTTTTCTGGTCTGTGCGTTAAAATGTATTTTTTGTTATCTACTGTGAGAGTAATAAATTTTAAAGAAATTTTCTTAAAAAGGACATTAATTTTGAGTGACAAGCAGGTAAGTAGTATTTCCTTAAATATATATATTTTTTTTAAGTAGTTTTTAAATAATGGAGGAAAGTGACCCATCATTTTGTTAAGTTTCTTTTCAGGATGGGAAGATAAAAATGTTTTATGATTTTTATTAACAATTTTAAATCATATTTTTGCAGTTCAATTAAAATTTATTTTTAACTGAAGTACAAAATCATTAATTTTTTTTTTCATTGTTTGTTCATTAATTAATTACATTGAACTATATTCACAAAACTAAACTTTTGATCCGCCCATCCTTTTTTTTTCTAAAGCTTAAAATTAGAGTTAACACCAAGGGTCCAAAGTTAATGCCTATTCGACTGCTATCTCCAGTAATGTTCTGGGACAATAAAAATGTATTCATTCCTAAAGTTAATCATTTTGAAACAAATAAATATTATTTGTTTATTTTTAAATATTAAAATATTTTATTTGCTTCTGAATGGGAAAAAATTGTTTCAGAACAACTAATTTAAGGAATAAATAGATTTTTATTGCCTTGGATATTTTGTTTTGTTCAAAACGAAAAGTCAAATAGGCATCAACTCTGTAACACTAGTAAACATTATTAACTCTGCAGAACACTTTTCTAGGTATAATAAAAACCGATCAAACTCCACGTAGACTTTCGATCGACACGAATGGGAAAAGCGACTCTGACAACACGGTCATAAGCGCCAGTAGACCGATAATGGACAAATATTCTGTGCGCCAATTTTGCACCCAAGAATCCAGCAATCTTTTCAGATGTAATTTGTGCCGTAAAACATACACGCACATCAGTAATTTCTGTCGGCACTTCCTGTCATCTCATCACGGAGTGAGGCAAGAGATCCCGTGTCCCGTCTGCTTCAGAATGTTCACCCGAAGGGACAACATGTTGACACACATGAAACAAGTGCACAGAGTGACCACTCCAAAAGTGTACACAACAAACAACAACGGAGGGCCCAGATTCGAGTTTAACAGCTTGTGATATTTATGGACACACGCACGCTATACTTTTGTTATTTAATATATATATATATTTTTATCACGCCGACTGTTTAATCAGTATTGGAGAAGAGAATTGATTATACTGAAAGAATAAAAGCAAGCAAATGTCTGTTTCCCATATGTATATAAAAATTATTCATCATGTGCCAAAGTGAAGAAACTCAAGTGGAATAGTATATTATAAACGTCATTAATGTTCGAAAGAAAATATATATTTGATTTTTATGTACTTAAGACTTAAGTCATTAATAACTAAACCGGTAGATTAACAAACATTGTTATGGAGTTTGTTTTGTTGTATACAGTTTTTATTTTGTTGTCATTCTTAATATGTATTAATTTTTTTTTTTTGCCTCTGTTGAACTCCTTCCACACTAACCCGTCCAATTTTATCTTATTTAAAACTTAAACTATTATTTTGGGTTGTTATAATAGTTTTTAATTTTTAATTGTTATTGTTTTTTTTTTCTTATAATAATAAAGGGTGGAAACTGATCAGTGAGAGTTTTTGGCCTTTTCGACTGTATGAAAATAATTTTAAAAAAATATATATTATTTCTTTTAAAGAATGGCCAAAAACTAATTTTTCCCCTTAGCGATCTTTATCGAGTTACTTGTGAATGACGCTAAAAATGTATTTGGATAAAAAGTTTAAGGTTGTGTTTGAAAGCTCCGTTATTTGCTTGCAATTTTGTAATCTTAATTTTCATTATTAGATTTTATTCATTCAAGGCCATCGAAATTTGCTGTGTTATATTTTATCGGTAATATTTACTGTGCGGAATTAATTATTGAAAACTTTACAAGGGAAAAACTTGCAAGAAACTATTAAATAATTTTTAAAAAAAATTGTACATTGTTGTTTTTGTTGATACCTAATTTTTAAGTCGGGCTGTGTGTTTTCTTAGTCAATTTGTTATTCATTATGCCTTGCCATTATGTATAGTTAGGTTTTTTAAGAATATTTAAATTGTTGTTACTTTTGAACTTGATAATAAATTGTTAACGTTTATACACACATATTATTATATTTACTATTTATTATTTATATAATTATAATTATTATTATTTTTATCCATATAGACTGCTAGACAGGGTGTATTTAGCAATTAAATTAGTTTAGTGAACAATGGTGCTTTGTTTAACTTTTTGGGGAAATAACGAGTATTTATTATTTTTTTTTTTAGTAATATCAAAAACGCCCATTACTAATTTCGAATCGGCTGTGAAGGCTAAAATTTTAGTTACATTTTTTGTTTTATTTGTTTTTTTTTTTGGTTTGTTACATCGAATTTAATAAATGACTGAATTTAATTAAGTACCTAACTTCAAATATTAGAATTGTTTTTTTTTTTTTTTCGTTAACTCATTAATTACAGACACACATAGTACATTAAATGATTTTTTTCAAGGTATACAATTTATAGATGGCGTTTTTTCTAATTATTTAATGTGCCAATGTTTTGTTAGATATTTTGGTGATATTAATTTATGTAATAATATGTGAAATTTTCTGAAATAAAAAAAGTGATATTTAATTATTTGTTTTTTTGTCTTAGAAATCTTACTAATATATTACTAATAAATTTTTTTTATTATTATTAATCTTTCTTTAAGCATGTCTTTTAAATCCGAATGTTGTCTTAGGAACGACAAAAATCTACTGAAATGGTGGCTGTAACAGGTGATACACTGTACTTATATTTAAGTAACATAAAAAGCATGATGTGATATTTGATGGTATTTTTTGTTAGTTTTGATGTTGAATCTCATTTTGGGTAACATTTAGCTTAATTTTATTATACTGTTCATGTTTGATATTATAGATATTAGATAGTATTAGATATTTTGTTAGCTTATATTTTAGTTTCAATTAATAATTATAATTGGGTTTTCTATTCGATTAATAGAAATAATAATTCTTGTTTTCATTGAAAAATAATTGTATTTCAAATGTTTTTAAAACAAACTTACTGTAAATTTATGTCGAATATTACCTAATTTTCTCTAAAACTTAAATAATTAAAATTAAATAAAAACATTTATTTTGCATGCAAAACACTACAGTATTCCAGTGGCATATTTACAGAGGGTAGATCCCCCTTGATCTGTAGTCTTCTCGTTGACTATAGATCAATGAAATATTTGCTAATAATTAAATCCTAATTACGTCACTTCGGTAGTCAGTAGTGTATGATGTTTGTTGAAGCACATAATGTACTCATAGTTCTTTTAGCAACAGTCGAAAGTATAATGTAACGTGAACACACAATTTTTTATAATTATTACTTTATAAGGTATATAATGAGGTTGAGATAATTTGTGAGCGTTCCAACTCGCCTCTTCCCTCTTATACAATTGCCATCCAGCTGTACACAGACAACCTAATCGCCTATATCATAATATCCTTGTTACACCTATGCTCGATTGAGCATCTGTACCTTTATTATTCTACAAGCAACTTGGTCCTATCTATGTATTTGTGTATGTTAATCTAGTAGCCAACTGCCAAAGAGAAAACAATGAGGAAATCGCTTCATGACTCGTGACTATTATCCATGGTTAATTTTTAATTAAATTTTTACTGCCACCGTCTAAAATTAATCTAAGTAGCATTAAATTGACCATAAGTTTGAGAAGTTTGATCAAGTTTAAAAGCTCGGTAATGTGTAGGAATTTTTTTTTGTATTAAATAAAACACGGTAACTAAAAGATAAATTTGTCATGATTAAACATTTATTTTTTACACATGATTAAAAATAAAACCGATAAACTTTTAATTTTAATATAATATATTACCCGACATTGGATTGCTGTATGGATAATATTTTATACTCGTGACGTTGTCATGAAAAATCAAATAATTTATTCAGCGACCATCTCGGTTTTAAATTCAAAATCATAGCCATCACGTCTAAGTGAAGGCGGTCGGTCTTAAAAAGGATAGGTAATGTAATATATCACATAATCCTTTTCCCTCAAGCACAAGCGTTCGCTTTTGGACACAAAAAAAACCTTGACCGATCATCAGAGTAGTAGTACATCATTTTTATAATCACCATAACGTATTTAAGACAATGTTCTCACCGTTTTTCAAATATATATATGTATTATTGTTATTATTTTTAGAATAATGGCACAAAATTAGACGCTATCAATTGTATGTTTGTGTGTATACAGCGGGTTTCGAAAAACGCCATATTCAATTATATTTGCATGATTAGTCACGCTACTCTAGTGGCGTGTTGTGACCTAAAAAAAGCCAACCCAAATTAAACCCTTTTACCACCACCCTCTCGTTGTCTCGGGGCTTATTGATGAGTAATTAAACCGATAAGCGCCTCGACAACTTTAGTATAGATATTGCATCACCTCAACCGCACATGTTGCACGTCACACCTATGATGACACCTCAATCCTTCCTGTCCGCCACCAAAGCTCTAGAACACACAGTTTCCTTTTTCCTAACAAGGGCGTTTGCAGAACAAAAAAAAATTTATGAAACGTTGAAAAAACAAACTATAAATCATGAGCTACGTGGGAGCTAAATTTCGGGTAGGGTAGAGCGGGGATACATTTGTTTTTTTTTGTGAACGCCCTTGTTACCACGTGTAAAGTTGACTCTCTAACCAGTGACGTATCCAAAAAGATTAAGCGCCCATCCCTTTCCGGACTTTTTAAAAAGTAATATTAAACATGACTACTTTGTTTGGTTTTTCGTAATTAACTCGACTTAAACTATTTGTTTTTAAAGTTTTTGATACTTAAAAATTAGTTTCTCTAATTTTTAGTATTATAATTTATAATGAATGTTCGGCCTCTGTCAGCTTGGTAATTCGGTATACAAATTAATGCTTGACCCAAAAATTAGAAATGGTTTTAAATGTATACTTGAAAATTTGTATAAGTCCACACAAATACATAATACGTTGGAAATTCTAATAAATTACTTAAATATTTTTTTTAATGTATTAAAGAAGTATTTTATTTATTTAAAAATAGAAAAAATTAATATGAATCAATTAACCAACTTAAGCTGTTAGAGAGATATTAACAAAAACCGCTACATATTATGTACGTTGTATAATAGAGTTATCAAAAACGTGCAGCCTCTACAAAGAAAAACCATTTAAGAAATAGCTAGTTTTTACTTTTAACACACAAAATTACATCCTTTTAATAATAATAAAATATTAAACATTTAATATAGTATATCATCCAAAAAAAATATTCCTGGATACGCCACTGTGCCTTTTAGTATACCCTCACCTTCTCTGCCGACAATTTGCACCTGTCTCGTTTCCAGGAACTTGTTTATTATATTAGTTGCGCCTATGCTCATTGAAATCGTTAAAAAAAAACCTAAACAAAATTTGCTTTAATCAATCTAATATTGTCATTGAAAATATTTTCAGACATTCACAACGCCAACATGCTTAAGTTGTTAACACGTACCGTTCACGACCAGGCGGACGGCGACCGAGACAACAACAACGACGCTAGACTGACGTTGGCCAACTGGACGGCAGCCGCTATGGCCGATCAAAAGTCCAAGTTCTCGTTGGTCGTGTCCCAGCACACGTCCAGTTACAAATTACAGTTACAGACGGCACTGGACGAAGAAAAACGACAGATACACGAATCCTCTCAAAACCAACAACAACAGCAGCAGCATCAACAACAACAACAGTCGTCCGCGTCAACAAGGGCGCCGGTGAAGAGGCGGATACGTCGAAGGGCAACGTCGTCGAGCGATCCGGCAGAACAGTTGACGGAGATGTCCGTCCGCGGTCTCAACCTGTTTCGGTACGCCACTGTGTCTGAAGGCATTTACAAGTGCCTGGAGTGCGCCAAGACGGACATATTGAAAACGTTCAAAAACAAGTACAGCTTCCAGAGGCACGCGTTCCTGTACCATGAAGGCCATCAGCGCAAAGTGTTCCCGTGTCCTGTGTGCGCCAAGGAGTTCTCCAGGCCGGACAAGATGAAGAACCACATGAAGACTGTGCACGAGTGTTATATGCCCAAAGCGATAGACTATCCACAGGTGCCGTTCTTATTGCCACCCTGATCGTGCATGGTTCATCGGTCGTCGATCGCCCTAGCAGCCCTGTTACCGTTTAACCACCACCACCGTCGTTGATTGTTGCCACCAAAAAAATCGTGTTTATAGTGACCAATAAAATTCCTTAATGTTACTTACTTATTGTCCATCCACGATATTGCGGTTAAAAAGTTTGGCGTTTATATATAAAAATATTTTGTATATCAAGTAGAATTTGTTGTGCAATGGCTGTCGGTCTCTTCTAAAAGTCTTCCAAATAATAATAATAATAAAAAATAACAACCGATGGACGTAACCTATGGGATATTTTATTTCATTCTTTATTAAAACTTGTTGACCAATTTACTACGTTATTTCATTATATTTTTATAACTTGGCAGATAATGAAGTCATGTTTGATTACCTGTTCATTTTTATGTATCGTTTATATCTGTTGACTTTTAGTTTTTTTTTTCTTAATAAAATACTATTATACTGTACATTTGATTAATAACAAGTTATTCAAATTTATATCTATGTATATATACCTATTATATATATTACAAATTTAAAAATATTTACTTACGAGGTGTCAATTTAAAGCAAATAAATTACTATAATAAGTCAAATACCTCAAAACATGGAGTATTGTTGACAGTAATTGGTAGGAAAACATTTTATTTCTTTAAAAAAAAAATCTAAAATATCCAGCATTTTTAACTTCAATTGGTTTTCATTATTTATTTGCAAATTAATAATAATAAAAAAAATTTCGGTGCTGATTAATTAATTTGATTTAGATAAATATTTAAATGAGATTTTTTTTTGGTAAGTAGATAATTGGATTGTTTAGGTAGGCGGTATTGTGCAATATGTTTCCAGAAATTAACCAATTAAAAAAAAAACACGCTAATGGTTTTTTACCAAAATATTATTTTATAGATTTTTAAAGAAAATTAAAATAATGGTCTGCAAAATCATGCAATTAATTGAAAACGATCACGACTGAAAAAGTTAATTATTATTATATTTTTTAACTCCATAAAGGCCAGTTAGTTATTGAGACTGAATATATACTATAGTAATAATAATAAAAAGAAAGAACATAGGTTAAACTCTCGTCGTTCTAAATAATAACTGCGATTTATTTATTTTCTATTGTAAAATAAATATTAAATTATGTGTACGAATTGAAATACAATAATTATCAAAATATTAATATTATTATTGTTTACTTTATTGTAATTATACTTGCTTCAGTTTTGTGTAAAAAAAATACAAAATTAAAAGATTATTTATTGAAACATTACTCGATTTTTACTAAATAAAAAAAAAAAAAATAAGTAATACTTTACAATAATATTGTATAATTTGTACAAAATATATTAACGTTTTGATTTTAATATTTATGTAAAAATATATTATATACAAACACACATAAATGTGTGTGTGTGTGTGTTAATAATTATTTATTTTTGTTATATATACATAGAAGGGTACAATGTAGACAATTAGTTATTATTATTAATTTTTTTATTATTATTTTGATTAATTTTATTCAACCGTGCAATTCACACATATTATATTATTATGTTTATAATTTAATTAATTTAAAAAAATATATTTATAATTAATTATTCATGATTAAATCAATTAACCACGTTTTTTTTTGTGGATTATTAATTAAACATATTCGTTATTTTACCATTTTTAAACAAATATATATTTATATTCTTTTTTTTTTTCTTAGATTATTTTAATAAATGATGTTTAAACATGTAACATTGTATATTACATATTATTTAAATTTGTTAATATTGATTAACCACTGTTAGACATAGAGCTATTAATTATTTATACATAATAATTTAAATGTTTTATTTTAGTTTATAAATACGTGTTTAAACAATTTTTTACAAATTCATCTCAAAAACAAAAAAAAAACAAAAATTGTTGCGTTATGTTGTTTCCATTATTTCATAATATATTAGTTTAAAAATTATTACAATAATTATTTGTAATATGTCTTCGAAATTTAAAAATAATTTTGTGTTGACATTTTGTTGTTGCTTTTATAGTAGATGTATATTAATGCTGTGTGTATTTTTCTATTAGTCATTTTGATTTTGTTATGTTTTCCTAAGCAATAACACTTTTTTATTATTTTTTTTTTCATTCCTATATTATGTTCTGTTTTTTATCTAAAGTCACTAAGAAGTTATATTTTTTTTCTTTTTTTAAGGTGAGGGATTAGGCAAATATTTCAATAATATATGTCTGTAAAAGCAAAATCACACAACTTTTGTAAAATTATTAGTTAATTAAAACTTAATAATAAAATAAAAATCATTAATTTATGTAATAACTGAATATGTTAATTTTAATTCAATAAGCAATAAATTAACGATATTTGTAAATTTGTTTTTTTTTTCTGGATCCATTTTAGTTACTATCATTGATCTTACCCCTAAGTCTACTCAGGTTAATTGTAATATTTTTACAGTTGAAAAAAAAATTGTTGTTTTTATACATATAATCAAGAAAAAACGCCAACAACTTTTTCAGTAATTTATTGACTTGACAAATAAAGAAAGTATAATAAGAATATAATTGTCAATTTCTTTTTAAAATATTTAATAATATTGTATACAGATAAACAAAAATTATGTTCGAATTAAAAATAGAAAAAAAAACTTGTTACATAACTGCTTAGAAACATAACAATTAAACTTAATAAAAACAAAAACTGCTTTTCAAAACCGTGTTTACTTAAAAAAAAAAAAAATAAGGCAAATGAATAAAAGTATCCATTTTTTCTTGTTATTAAAAAAAAAAAGTATAAATTATAATGATAGGTCACCTTCACTATCAATAAAAACAATACTTGCCATCGACGGTTCTTGTACAGAACCACTTTCTACAAATGTAGAATCTAACAAAACTGACGGCTCCTAATATATAAAAAAAATGTATATTTATGATTTATAAAAAATATTTTTATGTGGTTGTTTATATAATCACTTACTATATTTGTTGTAGAGATAATCGTTTTTTTAATGGCCTAAAACAAACATAAATTAATTTAGCTAAGACTATAATAACATAGCAGTAACACATACTTGAAAATATTGGAGCAACTAAATAAACATCAAGAAATACTGTATAAAACAAACCGAATAAATAAATAATTTATTCATTCAAAATCAATTTTTTTTTTCAATCATAATTTATTTAAGTAGAAAAAAATCATTACTTTTGTTTTTACACATGGTATTAATAAAAATAACCCAAAAAGCAAAAAATTAAAATATAAAAATGTGATTTAGTTATTACAGATATGTTCAAAACATTTATACGATATTTCATAAATAACATTTTTGGAACATTGAAACAATATTACAACATAATATTAAAAAAATTTAAAAACATAATTGACAGAATTTTGAAAATATGGAAAATAATTACTTATTTTTATCGCCCAACAAAATGTACAACTATATAACATATCAAAATTGTCAAAGTTAAAAAAAAAATTGAACCTTATTTTGAGATGCCAACATATTTTCAAAACAAGCATTTTGATCGATCAAGTCTTGCTTTAGACGTTCTTGACTTTCGATTAAATACATTTTGAGATCGATATCTGTACAAGACTTCATCCATCTCTGAAATATATCTTAACAGGATTAATTATTGAAAAATATGATTACATACCAGTAGATTTATTGACCACTTATATTTATACATAGTTAAACACAAGGAAACTCACATCTCTATCCATAGTGACAGGTTCGTTTGTATACCATAAATCATTCAACGCATTATTAGTCTTCATAATAATGGCTTTTTGTTCAATAACTTCATCTATTAGCTGTTTATTGTTTGACACCATCTCAGTTACTTCATTTATCGAGTTGTTTATAATGTCTTCTAATTTTGAAATACGCTCAAATAACGAGTTAACTAAATCCTAAAAAATATTTATAAGTAATAAATTATAAATTTACTATCAAAAACAATAAGTCGTAGCCGAATGAAACATTCAAAATATTTAGAATTTATTTTGTGTTGTAACAAATGTAAACAATAATGATGTTAATTATTTAAATATTTTGAGTTTAAATTTTCAATTACAACAGCAACAAACTATTGAAATTCTAAATAAAAATTATAGCACAATAATAAAATAATTGTAAAACAACCTGAGAAACATATTGTTTCAAATTGGTTTTTGAATTTTCTTCCAATATAGTTGAAGCGCACATGCAGTCATTTTTATGGATAAAACGGATAGGACGACTCTTTCCATATATCTACTCGATAGTAAATTTTAACAGCTTGAATATAAAATAAATAATAATAATTTAAATATATATATTACCTCCTTATATCTATTTCCATAAACAAATTCATATTTAGTGTTGCATTTTACATTCTTCATCTCAATAGCATAAAAAATAGTGTAATATAAACCGTTTTTAGTCGGCGAGTGACTTTGTAAATCCATTTCAATGGCAACAAAGTCTTCTATATTTGTTTCCTTACTAGACGCGTACAATCCAATCCAATCTGTATACTTTGGTTTCAAAGACTGGAAAAATGATAAATATGTCTATTTAATGTCCCTATTGTACCTAATTAAAACTGAATATCAAACATTTGTTTATAGCACAGGCTTTTACCCGTTAGGTTCATTTTTTTTTTCAAACATTTTTAGGTGCATACATTTTTAAAATATGAACAAACAAAGTTGTTTTTAAAAAAGTTAGACTATTTTTTTACTTACCTTATTATTAAATTTGTAGAAAACCTCAATATTATCTTCTAAAAAATACTTTTTATTCATTATAAATGAAACACAATCGTCTTTAGTTTCCATATTAAACATCCAATAGATGACACACTGGAAACCATATGAAATATATTATTCCTCAAAACACAAGGGTACAATTTATTTTTATGCTTTCAGGTTAATATTTTTAAAATATATTAAATTAAATAAACATTAAGTATTAAGTTGAGATAAACATTAGTTTATAGTCATTCAAGATAGTTTTATCAAATTTTCTTAAAACATAATCGCTTAAGTGTATAAAACATTTGACAAAAATAACTATTTTAAATAGTGTAAAAAGAAGTATTGATAAACGAAACAAGTTCTGTTATACTTATACAATAAAAGAATCAACTGCGACATCGTTATTGTATATGAAATATGTAAAAACTAATAATGGTGTTAGAGAATTTGATACACTTTAGTATCATATTTTTAACATTCATTTTAGTTTTTAGTTTTTATTCTATTAATACATCATTGATGACAAACTAATTATTTACTTCATGTAAAGACTACAAAAAGGAATTGATCTTGAGCTTCAATTTTGAACAACTCTATCTTACTATTTCAACCTTATTAAGAAAATGTCTTGTAAATAGGGTTTCTAAATTTTCAAAATTGAATTGTACTATTTATAGCATCAAAATGATTTATCATTTATCATAAATCATAATCATTATATTATTTTAAGGCAATTTTTGCATATTAATGATAAATAAATAATGATAATTTTTTAGTTCCTATATTGTCTTGTTTATTTGCAAAGGCAAGACTTATAAATGAGGGCTCAATTAATATTGAATACATGATAGACTGAGAATTATTAAGCCTACAATAAAAGAGGAGGGCCTTCGATTCATAATAAAAAATTTATTAAAGATTTGTGAAAAGCGTTATTAAAAATAAAAATTTACCTTTGTATTTTACAACTATATAAATGTGAATTGACGTTATCAAATCTTAATTAAATTCTTTAAATCAAATTTAACTAGTTAGTTTAAGTTGCAGCTTATGAACTTAACATACAAATTATCATTATGTAATTTAAGAATTACACAACACACATTATTTAAAAATTATAAATTGTTTAAGCTTTATTGTTTGTGTGATTTGTCAACCAAGAAGCGTTCAGACTTGGAAAGTATGTCAGCTTATCAAAAATTTAACGGATATGAACAAAAATATCCTTGCTTGAGAAACATTAACCAGTTACATGGTCTATGGTAAAGTATAAATTTTTTTTTTTTATTATTTTGTAATTTGTATTATACATTTTTTTTTTGATTTTCGTTGATAGACTACAGTTTAGTGTTTACACTTTACTGTTAAATGTTTATAACGTAATACCTACGTTTAGAGCGTTGGCCGTTGATCATTTTGCAACAATTCTCACACGTATTCTTGTCTATAACTTAAATGATAAAACTCATAAAAAATATTTATTTAAATTTTAAACTGGTAATCGACCTGTCATTATTTCTTTATTGTTTAAATATGTAGTTTGTATAACTATTTACATACATGTTATACATAATGATTTTATAAGTTACCCTTTTGTCTGCTCTTCATAATTTTTTATTAAATTTCAAACTTTAATCTAAGCAACTCCGGGGTCTGCAAAAAATACCAAGTATAAAGTATTGACTATCATCGAGTTAAAAAATTTTTGTTCTGGTCAGCAAAACCGATTACCCAAAAATTGGATAGTATTTTAAAATTGACAAGACGTTTCTAAAAAAACCAAAAAGTCCCTATAGGTAGTTTTATACTTCAAGAAAAAAAAATGATTTTATAACATATATTTGAATTAAAATTTTTTAATTATTGAAAACGTTTATGTCAGGACACGCCATTCATCTTTCCTGTTTTTCTAATATAAAATCTTCTGTTTCCTACAAAATTGTGTCATACCTTTCAATAAATTCAATCAATTATAAACAAATTCAGGATATACTGACCATGCGCCAAAAATATTGATGCATATCTTTTTTTTTTTTTAGATTAAGTATTGTATATTTGAACAGGTTAAGTTAGGTAACAATGTTGTGAATAAAAATAACTTTTTTTTTTCATTAGGTACATAATAATAATACTATATTTGAACTAAAATGTAAAATCAGTAACAGGAACCATAACTAAGTCGATAAAAAACAGGTAGATACAACAAAAAAACATTAACCATAACAATCACTAGCAGTTTTTTTTAAATTAGTATAATCGACAAATTTAACTAATGGCGCAGGAGTAGATTGAATATTAAACTTTTTCACATGAATAATAGCTTTCACATCGTCAGTTTCACAGGTCTCGTTTTCATGCTTTTTAATTGGTTCTTCCTTTAAAAAAAATATACTACTTAATATATGAAAAATAAAGACTTGAATAATATTCAATAACATCATTTTTGATTATGTTAAATAAAATAGATTTCAAACTCACATTATATAGTGTAAGTTGTGTTCTTAATTCATTATTGACGTTTTGTAATTTTTGCAACGCTTGTTCTTGTGTATTAATTATTGCTGTCAAGTAAACATCATTTCTGACAGTTTTAGTTGATATCATATGGTCTCTGATTTCGTTACTACGCATGCGTTTAATCCAGCGCTATAAAACAGAATAACATGTTAGTTATAAAATTATGTTTAAAATATATTTACCAATTATAAATAAATAATGTTGACATTGGATGAATAAATACATTTTATAAATATTAATGACTCATAAAGTTGTTTAAAAACAACAAAAAAATAAATTTTAGGCCATATTTGTATAGTAGCTTTGTTTAAATAAATGACCATTTCCATAAAGTCATTTCCAAAAATGACTTTAAGGAACTCAAAACGTTATGTAATTTTTAATGGCTAATAATTATCTGACAAGATAACTTAATTTTAAAAACTAATATGCTACTTTAAGTAAGTGATAGAATAAAATTAATATATACCAAAACTTTAAAACTTACAGCGTATCCATTAGAGTTTGTTAGTTTAACAGGTTTTCCTTGATCAAGCGCACTATATAAGCCATCAATGAACTTTTCACCCCTTGATCGTAGCATTTCACATTCCTTTAATTTTTCTACCAACTGCTCATTTAATAGCATTACGTTCTTTTTTCCTTCTTCATAATCACGTAGTCGAGCTTCTAGACATTTTAATTGTTGGTATACTGAATCCACGTCCTAAATTAGTAACATATTATAATTTGACTAACAAGTCAAAAAAACAAAGTAAAAATTGTATCAAACCTGTCCAATTTTTAATTGTTCCATCAAGTTTGTAGGAGTTAGTGCAATGTTACAACTACAATCATTTTTATGGACAAACTCAACGGGGTTACTGGTGGCAATAATCTGTAAATCATAATAAATGTACGTCAATTTCATTAACCTAATATAGTAAAAAAACCATTTTCTAAGATGTAGTAGATAACATAAAATTAGTTTTAACTTTACCTTGAAATAAGAATTGACATAGATAAAACGATATTTGCCAGAACAATGTATGTACTTAGCGAATAGTTGCGAGACAAATTTGATTTTAAAACATTCTCCTTCTATTCTCCGGTGATCCATGACATATTCGAACATCAACGGTTCGTCGAGTTGTACATTTTCATCGCATGGGTATAATCCAACCCAATCTCTGAGCATTGGCCTTATTCTCTAATAAAAAAATTAATATAATTTTATGCGTGAAGGGGTAGTATTATACATTAATTCAATATGACCACATTAAGACCTAAGAAGCAGAGACTGCTACTGTATTTCGAGTAAGAACTAAAACATATAACATAATAATAAATCATCATCATGTAGCTTAACGGGCCTAGTAGGCTCAACGCTGCCATCATGAGAAATGGTCTCATAAAATATACCTTATGGTCAAAGATACAGTCAACGAATAGAAACTTGTCTTCGATGAAATAACGCTTGTTTGTCGCCAATATTACGGTCGGTGTTTCCATATTGACTTTAAAAATAATCCACTATTAATTACACAAAAATTGTTTACAAAACAGAAACGCTATATAGGTAAATAAAACAAAAAAAAAAGATGTTGGAAGAAAAATAAATGGGTTAATAATTAGAACGGACTAGAAGAGCTATCAACACATTTCAGCGTTCAAATGGGTTCAACTCGACTGACGGAAATCATAGTTTAATATTTTTAACAGTATCGACTGAAGATGCAAACAGCAACGGACTCACACAAATCACAATAAATTCTTTTAGCGCTAAAAGCAATGTCATATATATAGAAATATGATATATATATATATATATGGCATATACCTAGTATTTTAAACTATGATAATAAACGCTAACGGTTTATATCTTATCTCGGAAAACGGACAAATGACAATATTCTTTTTTTATCCACGTTATTACTCATTATGGATAAATTAACGCTACAAAACGACTAATATCTTTTATAGTGTTTCAAATTGTTCATTGTCGTTATTTTGATAAGTAGGCAGTAGGCATAGTGTCGAAATTCGAATTTCGATCATTACGGTATTGTATTTTAATGTGGTACGACTTCTGTACTTATCATCTCCATAATCTTTATTATTATAAATTATAATATTATATCCCCTGGTTTTACATTTTTGCGCTATTAGGTTTACAATTTAAAGTTATCGTTTATCGGATTATGCATAGCAATTATTAATGTATTAATGCACTAAATCGAATTTGATTATTAAATCTATTCTGTGTACTTAGTACGGAAACGACAAGTGATAACGACATAATATTATTGTTATGAAATAATTTTATAACACACAACAAAATATTATTTAGGTATTGGTGTATGAACACTACACTGTATTATACAAATTATAAATTTTAGTTAATTAATCATAATATTTAAATTTTAATACTGATACTTACTAGTTTATTATAATGCACTGGGACGCTTAGCGAATGATATTTTTAATAACATTAGTAGTTTATAAAATGCTTATTCTGGCAGTCAAAGGAAGCCGCCATTAAATAAAAATCCATTATAAATTTGATCAGGACACAAAAAACCTTAACAGTTCAAACCAGCACAGTCCAAACCAAGTACAGTATAAATCAAGAGAAACATTCTGTAGAGAAGAAGTTAGCAAAATTGGGTCAATGCAATAATTAAATCTAAAAGCGATTCCATCACAGTCAAACGCTTTGATGCGATTCTGCGAATACAGTAATATAATACAGCATAACCTATAAGTTTAAGCCAGCACATTAAGAAGTAACAAAAGTTGGGCAAAGTTATCCACAGCGGTACGCCACAGGAAGACAATTATTGTGTTTCTTGTCACAAAAAGCACATTGCTATAAAACCAATACGGAATACCCTACACAGGTCTGCATGGAAGCAAAAACAATATAGGTACGTTTTATAATAATCCTTTAAATTCAATGAATTGTGTTAACACCTGACGAGGCGAGCCGCGAGGTAGACGGATAAAATAATATATCATTTAGCAATGACGTATATAGGTATAGGAGAAGATTTTGGGGGTTCAACCCCCTCCCCTCGAAATTTATGGTTGATAGGACACACGTGCGAATTAATTTAATCTATGTAGAAAGTAAAACCCAACGGCGCAGCACAGGAAAAATTTAAATTTCAGGCATATAATAAATTTTTTTTTCACGTGTTTAAGTTATTTGTGTGTGTGTATGTATTATTATTATAGTCGGGATTTCTATGAAGTTGGTTAACACTTAACGAGTAACGACGGACCGTCGTCGATGGTCGTTTAAACGGTCAGTTAAATTATCGATAAAAACATAATACCTTTATAAAATAAAATAATTTGATTGGCTGACCCTTACGCTGCCATTTTATTTTTATCATAGAAAATTTCGATGGAGAGAGGTAGAGATGCAAAACTTTTACAATATTAACTAGTTGCCCGCCACGAGTTTCGTACTCGATGTGGTTTGTTCAAATACAAAATTTGGATTTTGGTACTCAGGTTAGTGCGTGTCGCGTGTGTATTATTACGAAAGATATAATTTATCTGAATGTTGTAAAAACGATACAAATTGTATACAACTCTTATCTTCTTACTACATAAATGCAAAAAGCAAAAATATAATTGTGTGGCTGGTACTATACAAATTGCAAAATAATCTCTTCGTTAGCCTATGTGATACGAATGTCTCAATCCCACCCTGCGAAAGCGCAAGTATGTAAAGTCAACGTGACGTAATTGGAATATTCAATATATCCATTTGTAGTTCCTTTACTCGACTTAAAACTGTAAGATAACTTTGAGTCCATGGGCACAAAACGTTCACTGCTGCGGTGCCCATCCAAAATAACCACCAAGATATAATGACACAAAATATTAACGCCTTCGTTCAATTAGTAAATGTGCTTTAGCATTACAATTTGCTTATAATTTAAGTATTCATTTTTCAGAAACCATTCAGTATAAATAGTTAGAAAAAGACCTTTTTTTTTTATTTATTTAATACCAAACACATTTTTTTTTCTTCTTGACAAGTATGTTTTTCTCTTTTTTCCCGAAAAAAAATGTTAGTGACAAAAAATGTTTAAATTAAATAATATTCGATATGTAAACTTAGTATAAACTATAAGCTCAGTATATAAATTAAATTGCAAATTATTTTATCTATAATTGGCTTAAAAATGTATAATTTTTTACTTTCTAGAAGTTTTTAAAATTAAAAAAAAACATTTACAAAATAATATATTTCACTGTGACTAGTCTCTGGCACGCCTGTGACAATTATTTTATGCTTTTTTTTTTTGTAATTGATTTAACAATAACTTTAACGATCGACCTTTATGAACATTTCATTGTGTTTTTTTTTAATTTTTCAATGTAGTTAACCATAATTATATAATTTTAAATATGTTTACAGTTTTTACATTATAATTAATATTTATTATATATATGGATAATAATTTATCTATGGTGTGTAAACGTTTATTTCCGTTAATATATGCGTACGCGTTTAAACACAAATAATTACTGTTATTGAAATTTAAAATTTCAACTATTACAATGTAAAACTCAGTGTAGGTACATTTCTTTATTACCAATATCTATTACTACGTCGTAGTGTAATTCCCTGAGATTGCGTATATAAATACACATCTCGTCTTCTCCGGGTTTGTTTTGATTTTCAATATCCTTGTTGTACAGTATCCACTTTCTGAGATGGGTGGCAAAGACGTATATAGAAGTTTTCAATAACATTGCTGTAGCAATTACTTCATTTTCGGTTCCCCATTGACCTAAAAAATAGCCGTTATACAATAACAGCTAGTCATATTAAGGTGCTATAAAATAATAGGTAATATCGTCGACAATGCCCGAATTTCACTTCAGTTATTTGGATAAGTAAATAGTTTCGCCGTTATAAAAACTACAGAGGAGGACTTTATTTTGAAAAAAAATATTTATGCTTTTATATTTTTAGCTGGTTTTATTACATCAATAACCAAATTTAGTTCGATTCCAGAAAGTAAAATAGAACTTGAAAAAATAACATACCACCTTTAGCCATCATAGTTTCACTTAAATACCTGTCCCTTTTGGTAGGTCCATTAAAATATTTTTTTATTCTTTTGTTCGTTTTCATAAACTGAAAAAAGTTATTGAACTATTAAAAAGTGCAAAAATTAGTAACTAAAAAGACTAAAATCAAGCTTTTAATTAACTATATATTTTCGTAGCCAGTGCCTAGTAAATGTTTGATTTTAGAAAATATTTTTCATTTTTTGTTTAAGTAATTAGATATGAATTTATTACATCAACTATAAGCTTCCGCATTTTCCTGTGATGGACTTCCGAGCCGGTAACCCAATAGGATAGCGACCTGAACAAACAGTTGCCGTCACCTGCGATAGTTTTGATGATAGGATAAGAATTGAGCTTTTTTTTCTCAATGATATCGTGTGGTTCAAAATGTTTAAAGGGTAATTTTAATTTAATGATCCACTTTTGCTGCCAGTTGGCGTTCACAGGATTGAACCATCTGTCTGTTTCGATATCCTCTGCACTTGTTTCGGTCGACACATCACTCTTATCATGGCAGATGGCTCGACTATAACTGCAGAGGGCAGGATTTTTAAAATACTCCACCTCGCTAAGTTCCTTAGTGCCGCTATTGCTCGTTTTTTCCACATTTGTCGATAACTGCTTCCCTGGTTCTTTGTACGGACTATCAGGCAAGTAACTCATAATATCATCTTGTATGTGCATTCGTTTAAAACTGTCCGTTCTATCAATTTCATAAATCTAATTGCAAAACACCACAAAGTATAAATTTATTTATGCTATATGATTCATATTATGAGCCGGTACTAATTTTCTAGAGATTTTCTTAGGGTCTGAAAGTGGGACTGTTAATATAACCAATATTTATTTTTTTCCTATGAAATTAAAATTAAGGACTTACAATTTTTTTTTAAGGATAAACTAAAAAATATAATAGTGGAACTATAATAATAATATGCATTTGACTTGCTTTTCGAATAAATAAATTAAATGAAAGTAGATATAAATAAATGGGATTAAACGTATTTTTATTTTTTATTGCAGCAAGTTTCGTCAAAAGATAAGTAGGACTTTCATACATATATGAGACACATAACGTTAGAAAAGCTTAACCTACAAAGAAATACATTTCGTTTTATTATAGTAAAAATTTTAGCATAACCAAACTGACCCAAACCTAAAAAAATATGATCAACTAAATGACAGAACTTAAATTGTTTGGACTTTTTGATTTTTTTCAACTACACATCGTTATTTTAATTCATGACACAAATAGTTAAAACATTAAACATTGTAGGACAAAATAAATATTATAATTATGAAAACTGAATAAGGTACATTGTGTTATATTTTGGATGCTCTACAAGTGTTTTGTAATATATTTTTATTTTTTTAATTTAAATTTAACATATTTGACGTAAATACGTTTATTACTATAATACATTGCATAAAACAAATATGATAACGAAATCTGCTAATACAGTTTCACATTGTAGTTAAAAAAGTATTGGTTATGCTGTAATTCTACCAGAAAAAAAGATTTGAGCTTTTCAATTTTCACTTGGCAGGAATTGTAATGTCACGCGCTTCGAATTTAGGATTTACGTTTCGGGTTCATTTTATTATATCGTTTATTGTATAAAACATTTGCAGTTGTGGTTCCTTTTTAAAGAATGGATGTTTAAAATAAACGAATTTCAATTAACCTATGGAATAAACATTTGATATGTAAATACTTTTAATTGTTATATAATATAAAATGTATGAATAGACCCATTGTCACCTTATATTCGTGAAAGAACCAAGTGAAAATACACAGAGCATCAAAACCATAATCAAGTGATGTCCTTCAAACTCTTTTTGGGAGAGTTCAGCGATGTTTCGGAACAAAAGATACCCCCCCCCCCCCCCGAGACAGGAGACTTAGGGTATTTTTATAACTTACGTCTCTCTTAGGACTAAGATATTTGTACACACAATCCACCAACACTATTATACTTACTTTTTCTGTAAAATTAAATCGACCGTCTTCATGCCACAAGCTTTTGCTCAACCATGGATCATGAGTGTTTATTTTATCAGCCTGTAATGGACCCACCGCGGACCATTTTATCTCCCGTGGATCTATCGGTTTTTTTTTCGGTAGATCCACCGTCATAGCTATTTGTATGCATAATAAAATAATAAAAGCACTCATCATAAAAATTAAAAAAATTGTAAAATGTAAAATCGAATGCAACTATAAAACAACCATATGGAATAAATCTACTGTAAAAGACACATTACACTAAGCACACTGTACATACAGTGCAAAATTCGTATAAAACAACAGTAAGTTGCCATATTTTTAGGTGTGCTTCAATTGTTTATGTTAAATTATGTCTATTATTTGCAACCGAATGTATATTAGTATTTCACAAACAATACGTAGACTAAATAGGTTTTATAGATAAAGCATAATATGTCGTAAATTCCTTTTGTTAGTACGACACAGGCAACCAAAAATACTTTTTGTTCAAAACAATCTTATATTTATGGTAATATATTTTTAAAAAAATGTGCATAAATATAATAAAACAAATATTTGAATTAAAGAAGTTTCATATTTTGTTCCTTTCTTCGTACTGTTCTGCAACAACATATTTGATAGCAACACCGCCGAAACTATTTCTTCTTTTTCTCGATTTTACGCCCATACAATAAAGATTCGAATTTAAAACACAACTGTGTGTTACATCTTATAAACGCTTAAATTAAAATTTTCTCTTCAACTATAAGAGATAGAAAATTGATTTTAAGCTTATTAGAAAAGAGCTTGTCAAGAAGATACAAAATATGAATTGAACAATTCAAGTCCAAATAAAATTATGAAATATATGTAACACATTATGACAGGACTATGCATACGGGCATTATGTAGTATTAATTGTATTAAGTGTAGAGTTAGACACAGTCTAGCCACCCGTTTGTTAGGATACACTGATTTAACTCTATCTTCAGCTTAGCCTAGCCAACAAGCGAAGCAGACACATTACGAGTATACCTAACGTTGTTGTATTATTATTATAATATTATGTGAATAAGTTTGACATTCTCAAACTACCAGCATATGATTGTAGAAGTAAGCTAGGTTAGTCGATAAATAATAATTTCACCGTTTATTATTTATTATTAATTTTCTTAACAAGTGGTTTTAATAATGACAATGGACAAATAAACGAAATAATCGCACGATACAGCAGGAAGTCGTCGACAGGTCAACTAACACAGTGAACAGCAATAATTCATAAAATAATACAGGTATAATGTACACACACAAACAGCGAGCGGCCGCAGACACACTTATAGTACTTAATAGGTATAGATATTACAACTGTATTCTGAAAATATAATGATGTGTTGTACACACGAAATCGGAGAAAAATTAAATATTACCACATGGTTCTGTGTAAAATGTTAAAATACAGTAGTCGTTATTACAATTTTAAATACATATTTTTGACTACTTTAAATTTCCTAAAAGAACATCTTTATCTTGAACGTCAATTACTACGTCGTAGTGTGACTGATACCAATTGCGTATATAAAGACACATCTCATCTTCCCCGGCATCGTCTAGAATTGTAAAATCCTTTTTGTACAGTGTCCACTCATGACGAGGGGTGAATACGTATATTGAAGTTTCTAGGAGAGCTGCTGCGGCAATAATTTCTCTGTCGGTTCCCCATTGACCTAAAAAAAAATAGCAATTATAATATAGGTAAGTAAACAGTTTTACCGACATAAAAACTATAAAGGAGGACTTTCTTATAAAAAAAAAATTTGGTAAACAGTTTTACCGACATAAAAAATGCAAAGGAGAACTTTCTTTTAAAAAAAAAATTTGAAGTTAATTGCGCCACTAGACTTTACAAAAAATAAACTCTCAAGTAGAATTTGCCTAAGCAAATCCTAAGCCCGGCTTAGGACGCTAAAACGTAAAAACCTAAAAACTTAAAATTAGTGTTTTTCAAAATACCTACATTTATTTTTTAGTGAGCGATTTGTTGAAATAGGAAAAAATGTTGATAAATTTTAAGGTTTTTAGAAGCCCAAGTCCCGCCGCCAAATCTCCGCCCGTGTATGGGAAGAACGCTGAGCTGACATAATATTTTCAGAATTGAGTCTGCACATTAATGTTGTATTTCTAATAACTAACCCAAGCTCGGTGTTGGTGAATTGCGGCCACATAATAATTACCACTTTTTATTAAATGTTTTATGAAGCTGAATTGGTAAACTTCGTAGATAATAAGTGGCTTCGATCAGTGGCGTAATTTGGTTTATTTTTTTGTATGTATACCATTGTGATATATATATATATATATATAACGTCAAGGGGGGGATACGACACCCAAATCCCCCCCGTAATTACGCCACTGGCTTCGATGTTTTAGTATTAACCAAATTCATTATCATGTGAGCAAGTACAATGTTGTCTTAGACCTGACAGTGAAAATGTAAAATATATAATAAATATTTTGCGTCCGAACTATCGTGTAATAATTAATTAATAATATCCGTTTGCTGTTTCATTTTATCAGACACCAGCGTTTTAGTGTGGTGGTCTTTAAATAATTATGCACATTATAATAATACAACCACAGAATAGATGAATCAGAATTACTCAACATATTAGGCTTGATATATCAAGGCACTCTAGCATAGGCAATGGGAAAAATTACTCCGCCATACTTCTTTATAGTGTAATTATTGTAATTTATTATATCATTAACTTACCATTTTCAGCCATCATAGTTTCATTTAAATAGGCGTCGACTTTCTCAGCACCAAGAGCAAATTCCATTTGTGTGTCATTCTTCATAAACTTTAAAAGTAAAATAATTATTAAAAGTTGTCCTTCTCGAGTTATTAAATTATTATAATTCTGTGTAATAAAACGATTTTTATTGCTTCCTCGAAGAGTTATCTACGTTTCTCTGGGGGAAAAAAATTCTTGGGATTGGATTAAGACCATAATATGTATCTTTATCAAAAATTGAATAACTTTGTGTTTTGTCCGTGTGTTATGTGCCCGTATTCTGTACAACATATTTCTTATGATTTGTACTGTACTTGGTTTAAACGGTTCCGTTTTTTTTATTTTTGTGTCTGGACACCCACGATTACCTCCTAAGCTACTAAACCGATTTTTTCATACCAGAAATCGTACCTAAAACGTGCTTTATTGAGCAAAAATTTCAAAAATTAATTTCTTCTAATTAAAGATTTAGACAAACACCCTGAATATTATTTTTATTTTATGTATATAAATAATTAAATATGTATTTCAATAAAATACACCATTTTTTCTCAATTAAAATGGGAACGCAATACTAACTAATAACTAAAAAGTTCTTTATTTCTGTGTCACGGTGTGCGTGTGTGTGTGTGTGCAAAAATTAAATAAGTAACCCACTCTTTGACACTATTTTTACTTTGTGTGGCCTATAACTTTTTATTCACCTAGGTTAAATAAGAACTTTGTAAAATTATTTATAAACTACCTTTTTGCGTCCATCAGTTTTCCACCCAATTTAAAATTGCAAAAATTAAGGGGTAAAATGAAGACTACAAAAAATAAAAAATAAGTTTAAAAATCACGCTTTTATTTAACTCTCCCCTATATTTTTTCGTGGCCAATAACGAGCAAAAGCGTGATTTTAGGAAATATTTTTTATAATTTGGTTTATTACTTAAAAATGTGTTTATTACATCAACTATACACTTCCGCATTATGTTGTAATGTTCTTCCGAGCCGGTAACCCAATAGGATAGCGCCCTGAACAAACAGTTTCCATCACCTCTAATACTCTTGGTGATAATATAAGGATTGAGGTTTTTTTTGCCTACTTCATCGCGTACTTTTGTTAAAGGTATTTTTAATTTATTGGTCATCCTTATTTGCCAGTCAGAATTTACAGGATAGAACCATTTGTTTGTTTCGAAATCCTCTGGTGACGGATTTATACTTTTGGGTATCAATTTATTTTTCATCATATTATCGTATTCATAGGAAGATGCCTCCCACCTCTCTTTTCTTTTACCGTTAAGGCCTGGCATATTTTCCGAATAACGTTCTCCCCATACTTTTTCTCCAAAAGGTCGTTGACCAAAATTCGACCGTTCGTGCATTTCCATTTCAAAATTAAATTCCATTTCTTCTTTCTAAGTGCAAAATGTAATAATTAAAATTTGCAATACTATGTTTTTAGACGTAGTAGCTACTGATTTAAATAGTTTGTTATAAATCTTTTTTTTAATCATATATTATCAATCATTAATTTTGCGCTTAATTTATATGTGTTTGGTAAAATACTGGTATATATAAAATGATCGGTAATCTTGGTATTTTTTTTTTTTAGTTTATTTTTTTTAAAAATATATTATATTTTAGCTTGCTGATAAGACTGATAACAAACTATCCTACATCAATATTTTTTGCGGTTTACACCGGACGAAGTATTCGTTTTTTTTTATCAGTATTGCCAATATATTCAAACGTTAGGTATTGGATAATGTCATTCCCTAGGCTCAATAAATTTAAACAATATACTTACTACGTCCACCACTATTTCAAAATGCGTCTCATTATCAAGTCTTAAATAAATACAGTGCTCTTTGTCTCCAATTATCTTTTTATTTACATTTTTATAGTACGCCTTCCAAATACTCCCAAATTGATCGACCAAATTGAACACCATTATAGTAGTTCTTAGAAAAAATGCTGCGCATTGTAACTCTTTCTTGACTATATTCATGGCATAATCATCTTAAACGTATAATAATATTGTGAATAACAAGGTAAATTTCAAATAGAATACTAAGTTACTAACGGAGGCAAGCATGAAGAACAGACGCGTATATTTAATTTTAGGTAAACGCTGGTATTGAAACTAAATGGTGACATGGTGATTGTAATATTAATAGTCAGATTTTCGGTGATTTTAAAAAATAAAAAAGATTTATTTAGAATTATTTTTTATTGGAATTGAAAGTAAAAATGGGTCGAGTACGTTTATTATTATGTATTATCGGGAATAGTAAAAAATACGTTTTCATGATTAGTGTACATTTTTTTGGGGGCCAATACTTGTTTTTTGAAGGCAAAGAAAAACACTAAACAATTTAAGAAACTTGAGTCTTACATTGGTCAGCTTTTTCTCTATCGTCTAGAAAGGACTTGCGTTTTTTCTCAGTTTTAAAATATCTCCCCACATCTGCATCGACTTCTATAAACTTGAAAAATAAAAACAGCACAATTTGTAATGATAATGATACTTCAGTCAAACATTATTTTTATATTGGAATTTTCACTGTTTGACTGTGATCAAAAATGTAATTACTTTTTTGAATATTTCCCTTAATTTTTTGTCATAGATTTCCGAGCCAGTCACCCACCATGACAACGTCTTGAACAAAGATTCGGTGTCCTCACCAACGAAACCTTTGCATGCGACTTCTTCGGTCAGTGGTTTCCCCATTACTTCAGACCAATTGTGTTTTTCTACAATCTTAATCACATCACATATATTATTGGTCGATAAATTTGGTTCTTCTTCAATCTTAACGTCATCACATATCTTATTGGTAGATAAATTGGATTCTTCTTCAATCTTAACGTCATCACATATCTTATTGGTAGATAAATTGGATTCTTCTTCAATCTTAACGTCATCACATATCTTATTGGTAGATAAATTGTGTTCTTCTTCATCTTAACCTCGTCACATATATTATTGGTCGATAAATTGTGTTCTTCTTCGATCTTAACTTCGTCACATATATTATTGGTCGATAAATTGTGTTCTTCTTCGATCTTAACCTCATCTCTTATATTATTGGTCGATTCTTCCTGCGTCGTGGAATATTCGAGTGTTAAGCTATCGTTATGAAACATATCACGATATTCTTCACATAACCGTTTGGTAGTTGTTTCCTGCCACGTTGAATCAACGGGTAAGAATTGCGTACCTTCAAAAAGGTCCACTTCGACAGAGCCCGACGAGTCCGACGAGTCATACATAACATCATCAGAATCTTCGAAAACATCTTCGTCCTGTGAGTAAACAACACCATTGTTATTAAATCAACAGCATAAACAACCAAAACATTATTTAAAGTCGCAAAAGCAGCTTTTTGCGCTCGGAGATATACTAAGGGGACACTAAAAATAAAAATTAAATATACCACAACAAACTTTTTACATTAATATCAAATGTCTGTTTGTAATGTACCCTATTTGCCAATAGCTTATTGATTGTTTTATACGACTAACTAGTCATAAGTCATTAAACATACATAAGTACTAACGTTAAAATAATTACTCTTATTGTTTATGGTAAAATTTGTCGATCAATATTATGAAACTTACACTTGAAGGTACAAAAAACCGTCGTTTCTTCAATAATGATTCTTTTAGCATTGAGTTCTTCAATTTGTAATCACTGTAATTGTAATCGATCATAGACGCATCTGTCATCTCACTCGGCGAAGTATGAGTTTTTAATAGATCCTGCGGGTAAACAACACTAGTGTAATCAAATCAAAAGCATAAACAACTTAAACATAATTTAAAGTCGAAAATCCTATATTTTAACCATCGGAGATGTAGGTACTATGAGAAAGCACTACAACTAAAATTTGTTTAATCAATTATTTTTTTAGTTGTTCTCAAAAAAAAATATAAGTAATAACGAACATGTTAAAATAACATCGTAATTACATTTACTTAGATTTTGAACAATTATACACGTTAAAGCCTCTATGCTTGAATACAGCTTTGACTATCTTGAGAAACATATTTTAATGCGAAAAATACCAATTAGGTAATAATAAAATATTTTTAATAGAATATAATATTATATTACTTTTTTTAGCTTCGATGCGGAGCTGAGAAGGTATTGTTTTTACAATGATGTGTTTTTTTTATTTTTATTTATTTTTTTTTTTGTCTGGACCCACGATATCTCGTAAATCGCTGAACCGATTTCTTCGTGTAGCAACTCTATAGATCAGAAATCGTACCTGGAAGGTACTTTAACAGGCCAAAAATTTTAAAAAGTCACCACTTCCCCATCAAAATCGAGAAAAACACTTAAAAAATGTACAAATTTTTCAACTTAAAATTACGATGTTCTATAACTTTTTTAAAAATAGTCGAAAATATTCCAAATTTATATGAATTGTTCTTCAAACACAGTACTATCGATAAACATTAACAAACCAAAAGAAATATCATAAACCCTTTTCCTTAGAAGGGATAGAATTTTTTTCTTTATTTCACTTTTTCAAGAAAAGTTTTAGAGATTTAGATCTGAAAATTAGATCAAAGGTAGATCTAAAATGGAACTATAACATATACAATTTTCTCAAAAATCTGTAGTCAAGTTTTTTTTTATTAAGGAAAAACCCCAAAAATAGGGTAAATTTACACTTTAACCGTAGTCAGTTTGTAGGTTGCTATGTGTGTGTGACACAACAGTCAACAGGTAATGAAAATATTTTCATTATATTGTTAATTACGATACATAGGTAACTATGACAGAACATTTTTATAGACAGACGATCAACCCTTATCGTATCCATCCTGCACAAGACTAAATATTAAATTTTAAGTACATTTTTGCTGGTCCCACGATATCTTCTAAACCACTATAACTAGTTTGAACATACTATCCACAGATTCGCATCGAAGCGTTAATTTAAAAGTGATTTAATCACTTTCAGTTATAATAAAATCTGTAGACCTGTGACCTCTCCGTCCACACTATGCCCCGACCCCACTGTACTGGCTTTTTTTATATTTTTGGCCATGTTTCCAATTTTCAAAAATCTAGTTCAAAACCTAGTTTAAAAATTAAAAAGTAAATGTGATATTTTATGTATTATCATTTATCACACATACCTAAAAAAGAAAATACAATAATATACATACAATATTGTACGTACATTTTGGTATACTAATAAACATTTGTTGCCAATGGGTAAATAAAAATGTGATTTAATGCGATATTTTTTTACGTCTACCTACGTAGCTAATATTAAAATCAATACTGTTGAAACATTTGAATAGATTTGTAGACAATAAATAACATTTCAGATTAATATAGTATGTATCAAAATGTTTATTATATATTATTTAGAAGGAAAATTTAAATGTAGTTAGGATCAAGTATCAACATGAAAGTTCTGCCAAGTATTAATTATTTATTCAAAGTATATTTTACACGTTATAACTACCCTGTTCGCCAATAAATAATTGATTGCTCTATACGACCTACGAGTCATAAATCATTGTACTTAAACTAACGTTAGTATACTTTTACTCATTTGTTATGTAAAGTTTGAGAACCCATATTTATTATCTTACGTTTTTTGGATAATTAAAAAAATTATTTTCCATCCATAACATATCTTTTAGGTTTGTAACCGCCAAATGCTTGTTTGCCGCATCGGTCATTTCACTTAACGTTGTATTATCTGTTTGCGATAAATCCATCCCACAAGAATTCGTCTCCTGTAGATCCGTTGAATCACTAGTCGTTAAATCTTCTTGTGATACATCTATCGTCCACAATTTCTTTCCAGGTAGATCCGTCGAATCACTCGGCGGTTGATCTTTCGGTGATGGATCTGTCATCCAAAAATCTGTCTCCGGTAGAACCATTGGCTCATTCAGTAGTAGATCTTTTTGTAATAAATCTGTTGCCCCCGAATCCGGTGGAACCATTGGATCACTATTTTGTGATGAATCAATCGCACATAAATCCGGTGTCTTGATTTGCTCAGTCGGTGAAGAAACTGGCTGCGGTAAATTCATCGCTATTGCGGAAAGACGAATTTGAATACATAAACACATAATAAGAATACATAGTTTTGAACTCATCTTGAAAATTAAAAAAAATAATCGTATGAAACTATAATACAACTATACGGAAGGAAATCTACTGTTAAACTATTTGACATTATATTTAGTACACTGTAAAATGTATGTTATAATTTACAGTATAGTCAGTTACCATGTTTTTACTTGTTTTTTAACTATTTTTGTTTAAGTATGCTATATGTATTTTATTTGCATTAATCGCAACCAAATATGTTATTCAAAATAACTAAAAAATAACACGTAAACCAATTGTATTTTTTGAATCAAACCTAATTCCCTTAGTACGACGTCAGAAAAACACACTTTTTGTGAAAAACAACAATCTGTTTTATGGCAAAGTTTCTTAGAACAAATTCTGTAAATAAAATAAAAAACGATTTCGGATTGTATGCTCTGTTTAATACATTTTTCAGCAGCAAAACAATTTTCCTAAAATGACTATTTTAATCCCCTTAAAATATTTATAATAATTCTATAAATATTTTGTTTTTCAACCGCTATTATTATGACAACTTGTAGCCTAAAAAAATATTAGTTTTTTATAACTGTATCCTTTTAGAATAGGTACAGTTTGAGAACTCCAAAATTTAGGACCGGATGTTAAAGAACCGCGAGCCTCTCCAACTATAACAAAAAACTAATACCTATTGATTATGGGTTAGTGAACATATTACAAAAACAATAAATTAGACAATTAAAAAAAGTATTTAAAATTATAAATGTATTTCATAACTGTAATAATGTTTAATTGTTTTCTCCGGGAAGTCATCGGTAGGCGGTTTCTTACTTAAATAAAAAATGCTATTGTAAATAACAATATCAAATATACTACTATGTAAATATAGATTGTATATATCAAATAAAAATACAATTTTTTTCCCCCACATAATTGTCTAAATAATACATCATTTATTAATTAATATTGAAGCGCATATCATTTAAACATTTAAAAAGGTAATATATTTAATATAATATAAAACTAATACTTCATATTTATTTATATTATATAGTAATATAAAAACCTGCTCCCTTGTTTTTTTAAAATTATTTTAATTCAATTAATTTATTTTAATTATAATTTTATTTCTATCCTATTCCTATCAACTCTAATACCAAAAATACATTTTTGAGCACATTATTGTTAATAGGTACAATTATATTTTCGATATTTGTATTTCTACAAATTCGCATTTAAGCGTTTTATTAAAAGTGGTTTTATCAGTTGTAATAATATAGACTTGTGACCTCCCCCGTCCCAACATGCTCTGTCCCCGTTCTCCCCCCGACTTCACTGTACTAGTTTTTTAATGTAAAATTATATTTTAATTCTGATTTTAATTTTGAGAAACAATTCTTTACTAGTGTAGTCTTAAAATACCTAACAAGTTAATCTTTGGTTTTATGTAGAATATCTTAATTATAACCTTAATATCTATATTATGTTTATTCAAATCAATATTACATTTTTTTTTTAAGTTTACATATAAGATTATACAACATACATTTACAATAGCATTAGCCATTAGATAAACTGCATTGTTCACAAATTTAGAATCGATTTATAAAAAATGTGTTATGCAAAATCTTAGCTAGATTTGGAATTGGCAAAAAACCTACAATTGTATTTTGATCCAGGTTCCAATAAAGGAATAATTTAGCTACTTAACACAAAAATTAAAATACATATTTATTTCGCTAAATTCGAATCATTCTAGCATTTCTAGTTATTTTTTCTATCGCCTATAAAAATTGTAAAAAAAACATCGATTTGTGGTATTTTCATCTTATTCTGTACGTTTGAATATTTGTTTAAGTCTACCTTCTAAAATCTAAATATCAAGTATCTTATGTTTTTCAAAAATAGTTAAAGTTTTAATGCCCACTTTTGTTTATAAAATACCTACTATATTACTGTATAGTCAAACCTCAATATAGATTAATCAATCCACTTTATGTACAATATTAAATAAGATAATTTATAAGAATTAAGATGAAATCATTTAATATTAACTTGTTATTATGTTAAGCCTATAACAAATAAAAAACGCTCAGGTTTCAATTTCCAAACCAGACCGTTTTGAAATCATGCTTAAGTCATCAGAATCTATATCATTATCACGATATTTTACAAGACGGTGGTCTTATATTATGTCCATGGTAAGGTGGATTCACAAATCTATCTCGGCCACAGCTTGATCCAAGATGATTACCTTAATTGATAATTCAAGGTTCACCGTTCAAGATTTGATTAAAATTGATAACAGGCACCAGCTGATATGAACAGTAATCAATGCAGCTGCGGTTGCAGTGTCTGAACGCGTTTCTCATGAGAGAAGCGAGAGAAATTTTTGTCGCTCACGGATGGCTAACCTGCACTCCAATGTTTATCTGCTATTGCCAGTGTGCTGTGGCGAGCGCCGTGATCCTTTTTCGAAACGTCGCTATTCGAACTCGTCCGGCATAGTGTGAAAACAAAATGGTAAGTTTTCATCCGTTTTAATCCGCTTTTCCAAGTGGTTAACTCATAATTTTATTAATGCATTTGTATTCCTTAGGGTATCGACATCGATCATAAACGAGGGCACAAGGCCAAGCGGACTGCGCCTAAGTCCAAAGATGTGTATCTGTTATTGTTGGTTAAGGTATGTACGAATAAGTGTTGATTTTACCTTTTGGATGTATCAAATGCGGAGTTGACCATAACTTGTTTTGTTTTGAAACCCCCGACCCATATAATTTTTTTTCATTTCTGTATATCCAAAACTATATTTTTGGGTAAATACTTAACGTTTTCTGGGCTGGAAACCACTGGGATTTTTGGGATTGGGTTCTTACTGCCAACCCGTTCATTACAAATTAAAATATTTGGTGTGTTAATAATGTAAATTATACAATTTTAGTTGTACCGTTACTTGGCTCGCCGTACCCGTTCTCATTTCAATAAAATCATATTGAGACGTCTGTTTATGTCGCGTATCAACAGGCCACCAATATCATTGACAGCTATCGCAAAGAAGATGAACAAGATCAATGATGAAAAGCGTATTGTTGTTGTGGTCGGCACCATCGTTGATGACAAGCGATTAATGAAAACACCTAAACTCACAGTATGTGTCATGACAAAATAAGTAGGCCTGATTGCTAGATTACAAAATTTTCCTATCGTCGCACATTTGCCTCAGTCATAGAATATTTTATAAATTGTAATCAGAAATTAACATTAAAAAAATACTTATTTTTTCAAGTGCGGGGCAATTTTCTTGCACAATATTATCTAGCAATCGTGCTTGTTTATTTTAATCACAGTATGTGTTATAATTGCATACATTCAAACACTACGCAATTGTTTTTGGTAATTGTAGAAAATATGTCTTATTTGTTGTTTAGGTTTGTGCACTACGTGTCACGGCTGGAGCTAGAGCTCGTATTTTGAAAGCTGGTGGTAAAATCATGACTTTCGATCAATTAGCTTTGAAAGCCCCTACTGGAAAAAATACAGTTTTGTTACAAGGTGAATATTCATTTTTAATTTTAATTTTGTAATTGCTAAGAGAAGGCTACACATACGTAATAAACTATTTTTTAGTAATTAAAAAAATTTAATTAGGTATAGGCAATTTTTTTTTTTAAAAACCTTAATTTAAAACTTAAACTGTAATGTGTAAATATTAGTTTAGTAATTAGGACTCACGTTGTTAGTTAATTTATTTTTCAAACTATCCCAGCATCCTGAACAGTAATTTTTTCTATCTAAAACATATCTGTGAAAATGCATTATACTAGGTCCATGGTTGTTTTAAAACAAAAAACGTAATATGAAATTTTAAAATAACAACATTTTGGAGGCAATGTGATATCCGATTTTAAATAATATAACATGAAAAAAGTTACAGATATTAAAAAAAAAAAAAAAGCGGTTAATCTTAAAAATGATATGACATTGTCTCCAAAATAAATGTTTTCTTCATAGGTCTTTTTTTTCAAAAATCATAATGCAAAAACGCATCTTGTATGGACATATTTTTACACTGAAAAATTGTGTGTATAACGTCCTCTTAAACTTAGTCTGAAATTAGATTGGTGCTTACACAGCTATATTGTTGCTTATTAATACTTATTGTACAAGTGTTTGGGTGTACTTGAATTAATTGTGCTTTCAACGCATTTTTGAATAAATTAAAACTAGTTATTATTGATGTGATCTGCCTTTTTTTGAACAGAACTTGATGCTTACGTCCTTTTGCCTTTGAAGCTATAATATAAACTAAAATAAATGACTTGGGTGTTATCTTTAAAAACTACTATTTAATTATTTTAAATTTAAATTCTTGTTATAAATTTACTCACTTGATTTTATATAATTCATGCAGTAAAAATTATAGACAAATGATTATTTAAAATTAAGATGTATTTAAATCATTTATTAATAAATAGCTAAAATAACTTATACATATAGTAATAAATGATCAAGTAAACTAATTTGTTTTTAATAAATCATTTTATTTAACAAATTTTTTGAATCTATAAATAATAATATATTTCAAATAAATATAAATGTTTTCGATGAATTTTATTTCTAGTAGTAAAAAAATGTTCAAGTGAAACCTAGGTATTATTAGCTTTGCAAGGTTTTTAGTTTCTTTTAAAGATAACTAGTTGCTTGTTATCTATTTTCTTTATTTTTAGTTTTAACCTGTCGTTCGTCACATTCTTTTTTTTCTATGTCAGTGGTGACGTGTGGTGAGATTCTCACTCTTTTTTTACATGCAACCTTAAATTTTAATAATTACCCAAAGATATATACTATAAACATATTCTATATATTATTCAAAATGTATATTCATGCGAAATCAGTAGTAAAATAAAAATAAAAAGTTGCTTAGTTTTGAATAGAGAACTCTCACGTATTGTGCACAAACTGAAGATTATTACTAATCAGTTCAACGGTTACTGACAATAAATGGTTAATTTTTTTTTGTATATATAATTCTTTACTTAGACTAAATTGTATTGATAAGGTTAGGGATAAAACAAGACAATAATAAAACATAATAGCCTATAGTGATGAACATTATCTTATGGTGAGAAAGTCTCACCATGCGACCAACGGCGGGTTAAAGGGGTTGGACATGATGATTAGTTGGGAATGGACGGGTTACTGAATGAATACACAGACCAACTTTTATAGTGTCTCACTCCCAAAGGTGAGCCTTAAAAATGATATGATATTCTAAATTATAAACAATTAATTTCTTTCCAAATTATTATTAATTATATTATTTGAATACGTTTTTAAAGACCCCGTCAAACGAACTGGCAGTTGGTGACACCGCCCACAGACTCCACTAATCAATCAAAAGGATATATTTTAGGTTTTATCTAAATATGTACCCTTTCGATTGCTTTGTGGTGTCTGGGGGGTTCGAGTGACCACCGACCGCCAGTTAGTTTAAAGTGGACTCTAGTGGAACGTTTGGTTGATTAGGGTAGCAGTATTTCCCTTACTTAGTATTCAGCTATAATGTTTTTAATATTAATATTATAATGATTTGTTTTTATAGGAAAACGCAACTCTCGTGAATCATGCAGACACTTTGGTCCAGCTCCAGGTGTACCTCACAGTCACACTAAGCCTTACGTTCGCTCTAAAGGACGCAAGTTTGAACGTGCTCGTGGTAGAAGGCGTGGTTGTGGTTTCAAGAAATGATCACCCTATCTTTTTACTCTATTATATTTTTATTATATACTGTGAAAATAAAGGGACTTTTGTTGTCGACAAATACACTTTACGAGATGCAATTTAAATTTTATTTTGAAAACAAAAAATAGTATTCTAAAATGGTATTTAAAAAGTTCACAAAAACTGAGAAAACCACAATAATTATAATACAATAGGAAAAGAAATTACAATAGGAGGAAACACCACAATAAGCTTAAATTTAAAAACAAACATATTATAAGCAACATTATTCATTCATAAAAACACCTTTACAATGAATGCGTATTAAATATAGACTAGAATAAAAATAGTAAAACCGACATGTTTAATTTAAAATTAGTAAATACAATTATTACAGCTTAGCAACCAATTTGATCACAATTTCTTCAATTTAAACTTTGAAGTCTGGCCAATAATTGATTTGATAACGTGTAGTGCTACCCTCGAACAACCTATCCAACCACATGGGTAATCCGTCTAGTAAATTTTCAAGATGTATGTCTTCTTCCTTTTCCTAGTCCAAGTACATAAATAACATTAATTATACACATATAATATAGTAATATCAACCGACAACCACTGAATAATACTTTAATTTTTAGTACCTTTAAAATTGGTTTAAATCCAACTGCACTTTCTTCGTCTTCATCAAAACTTAAAGGTTCCTCTTCGGATTGTTCGTCGAAACCCCAAAACTCTTTACCATTTTTTGGTGGTCTCATTCCAACTCTTCTCCACTTATCGTTTTTCTGAGTAGAAAATAAATATATATTTTTTAAAAATGTTCTATTATTCATTTGTTATGTTAAGCATTATAATGAAATAAAATGGTTCGCCTTATATATAATATTAAACTTAATTACACAAAAAAAAAAACCAAAACTATTGTTTGCTTTTATATATTGCTTAATTTTCCAGTAAGTTATAAACGAATAGAAAATTTTTCTAAATTCCTTTTTAGAAATTAAAGATTAAAAACATGTGTTATCACTTATCATAATATAATGGGATTTTCAGAAATAATGTTTTTTTTTTTAACAGTTGATTAATAAAAAATATTTGGCTCAACAACTAATGTAAAGTTACATTATTAGTAATAATATGATTTTAAGTGACAATATAAAATACGAGAAAACAAAACAATAAGAAAAAAAACAATCGGAGAGTGCGTAAAACTAAATAACATTGATATAAACTTAAAACTTAAATTAAATTGAGAAGCTCTTTAGAAAGGAAAGAATTTGAAAAAATGGATGTAATTTAGAAGAAAAGGATATATTTAAGTAAGGAATAAAAAAGGAACAGCCTGCCAAATTGGCTGATACCGAACCGACTGTGTTTATAATACGTGTATTAGAAAACGAAGAGGAGATATAATCGGAAAAGAGATTGTGAAAGGGGGGAGAGAACATAGGTTTTTAACGTGGAGGCCGAGAAAACTAGTGTTGAAGAAAACAATGGGTTTAAAAGTGAGGGAATTAAATGGGCACATATGTTTGGGGATATAATATTTATATTGTTATTTTACTTTTAAAAGTTATCTTTAAAAACAATATTTGAATTGGAACATTGGTTATAAATTATTTTTGATTATTTAACTTAAAAGTAATTATTTCAATTGGAATTACTTTTATCTAAAATAAATATGTCATCAATAATTGTGAACTACTATACACACAGTGACAATTTTAAAATTAAGTACAACTACTTACATGTCGTGAAGATTCTGGATGTTTAGCGTGATACATGCAATAGTATTTTTTCAAAGAACACAAAGATAGAACTGTGCCGACACAGTTTTTCGTATTAATATGAATACGTTTATCTGTCTCTGCGAGACTTAGTGACAGTAACTCACGATACCATTCTCTGGACGGCAAGCGATCCAAATTTAAATATCCAAACATCAGCGATTTATTCCTTTTAAACAATAAAAGTCAAATTTGAATTGTACATACATATTAATAATATACTAAATTAAAACTTACTTTCTATAAGGCCAGACTATACCGTAAAACTGTCTAACTAATACTGTAGCACTGTTGGAGTCTATCAACAGTATAATTGTACGACATCCTGGCTTGATTAAACGTACCAACCCGTTATAGGTTTCGGCTCTTAATTCGTGAAGTTTGAGTTCGCGGTGTTTGGACACTTGACTCGATTTCTGTTTGGCTTGTTTACCAAACTTTTCATTAACATCTTTTATTTCTTTTTCACTATAATAAAATGAAATTAAAATTATAAATATAATACATTGATGGTAGGGTGGAGAAATAAAATTAGATATTTTATACAAACACATAATCATACAAGTAGAAGGAAAACCACGTCACTGTAATCATTATCAAAGCTGTGATCATAAAAGAAACGCCGTTGTTTAGAATTGCATTAGTAATAACGAAAAAAATTGTATTGATGTGCTGATGAGCTCTGGCAATAATGCGCATCAAAAGACTCTGACTGTGTTCGTCTAACACGGCACCGATATGAGCTTCACTACTTAAAGTCCACGTGGTTTCACTATCGAGCAACGCGTTCAATACTCCCGTCAATCTCTCCTATAAAGAAAACATTATTTTAGCCTTGCAAATTCCAAATAAGTGAATAATTTTTTAAAATTTCACTTCTTACTTTGGTCAGCTCATAGTTAGCCCAGTCATTGAAATTTTCTCCCAACAACCATTTATAGCTGACCATAATTTCGTTAAGACGAGTTAATAATACAATGTGCAATAATGGTTCACTCGGACTCTCGTCACCTTGTATCAGTGAATTAATAAAATGCGGTTGCCTTTCTCTAAAGATGTACATAAATGCAAGCCGATCATCATCAGGATATAATGTTCTAGCTTCTTGCGCAAAACGTCTAATGGATTGTCTATGAGCATCGTGATTTGGTGAGTTACGGGATACTAGTACGACACAAAAACGATTTTGATCGACGGGGCAAAGGGTGTCAAATACGTCTTGCGAGGAAAGCCTAGGCAATATCAAATACTTATTGCTTTCTATAAGAGTACGCAATCCAACTATCGGTATACTAGTCATAGACATATGAGCGGCGGGGAGCCTAATATTTTCTTTTAAGATCAACAGTGTATCTTGATTGTGCGATACTTTGTATCGATCACGTGTTGAAAGGCACTCGTATAGGCCGATATTCATAAAACTGTAAAAAAATCCAACAATTAAAAACTGATGAAATACACATAACTATGATAATACACGTTTCTATTACCCAAAATTTATGTGGTCTCTATACTCGAGGGCAATTATAGCGTAACGCAACTTCAGCGGTGATTTTGGTTGCATGACTAATGCTCGTACGCGGTTATCAGATGACCAAGCATTTAAGAACTTATCTATATTGATGTCATTAAATTCAGGAACGAGATTAACTGGAAAGCTTTTGCGAACAAAATCTAAAAAAAAAAAAAAAAATTAAGAACTTTTTTTAACTATTCCTTATAACTTCAATATTTACCGATAATACTGTCAGAACTTAGAATATTTTCTCGGAAAACCATAACATTTGCATCTACAATAGAGACTAAGTGCGGAACAGAAACTCCACTGGTCTTCCAGTAAGCATAAGTTTCCACATCTTTATTCATTGTTTTAAAATCAACACCTGAATACAAAACAAGTAAATTATGATTTTGCTCTAAAACTGTCATAGACATAGTAAATAAATTAAAGAATATAACTTATTTAAAACAAAGTTTCTGACTTACCAATAAGTGTTAAGTCTTCAATTACTTTTTTAAGCATTGACTGTACTTTTAAAAAATTTAAAGAAAACTCTGAATAAAATAATATCAGAGTAAGTTTTTTGCTTTTTTCTGTATCCTTTAATAAATTGAATTCACTAAAATAATTACAATTTTAACATTATAAATTTGAATAAAATATTTTTTTTATGTGCTATTTTTTTACTGTTACTCACTCAACGTTGATCTGGAGTTTACGAAAAAAATCGAAATTATGTCGTTGGTGCATGTTGTCAAAGAAGTTATCCATATCAAAGTCGAAAAATTGATTAAAACTACTTGTGTAACTATTTGTTTGGGCCTGTTTATCTTTATTTGTTAACATCTAAATTATAAAAATTGATCATTAGCAATATCATCTACTATAGTTTTTAGTAATTTATAAAACATAATACAAATTTGTAAACTTTAAGGCTAGTATTTATCGCATTATAATCGACAATAAATATGCATTTTTAATTCACTTTTAGCTTCTTGATAACCTTTCACTTTCTTTTAAAATTTTTAGCTTTTACATAAAATTATTTACTTCATAAGCTCTAGTGATTTCGATAAATTTTGTGGCAGCTTCGGGATTGTCATTTTTATCCGGGTGCCTGAAATACAACATGAGCAACATTTATTATGTAAAAATAACTATACCTCTTAAATAAATATAAATAGTACCATTTCTTCACTAAACTACGGTAAGCCGATTTTATATCGTTTATTGAAGCCGTTCTCGGAATGCCAAGAACCGAATACGGGTCCTGGGCGGAAAGCTCCACCGTAAGAATAATCACAAACAGCACGGTTGAAATCAACCGCCATTTCATTTTTACGGAGATTTCTTTGACATAGACTCAAGACATGTTGTAAATCACCACGAAATACACATACTTAATCTTGTTTGTTACATTGCTAATTGTTTTAGAAATTAATAAATATTACAAATTTTGTTCTAAATAATTATTTCTCTGCATACCTAGTATATTATCATATAAGAGTGTAAACGTATTGATAAAAAATATTAACAATGTTGGCCAACCTGATAATAATAACCTGAGTATTTAAACTGTTGGTACAATACACAGATATATAAATCATATAATATAATATGAAACATTGTTTTCTACGTCTGTGGTACAATATTATTAATGTCATAGGCCATAGCCACAAAATGATAAGGTCAACCTAACAAGTTTACTTCTATTTAGTAATGGTCATTTATAAAAAGATAAATCACAGAATAGATTAAATCTAGTCAGACTCATGACAAAATAAATCTATTTTGTCATGGTTAGACTAAACCTTGTTGTATTGGTGGTCAATGGTCATGGTCTACGGATTACGCAGCAATCGGTATTTTCTTACAGAAGATTAAAGAACTTAGAACGATACACCTATAAAGAAAGGGACTGCGCCTTCCACACTCCCTACCCATTTGGCCGCGAAATAATGTTTGAAAAAGACAGAGCATTGTAATTAGCATGGTTATTAGATAAAATTGTATTATCATACTTTATCAAAAATAACCACAGATCCCCGGATATTTTATGCGAAGCTGAGAAGGTATTGTATTTACAATGATGTTTTAATTTTTGTGTCTAGACCCACGGTATCTTATAAACCGCTGCTCTGATTTATTTTTATATAGCAACTGTATAGATCAGAAATCGTACCTAAAAGGTACTTAAGTGGGCCAAAAATTAAAAAATTCACCCCTTTCCCTTCAAAATCGAGAAAAACATCCAAAAAATGTACATGTTTTTCATCTTAAAATTACGATAGTCTATAACTTTTTTTTAAAAATAGTAGAATTAGTTCCAAATTTGTATGGAACATTCTTTAAACATAGTGCCACCGATAAATATTGACAAACCGAAAAAAATCATTAACCCTTAACCCCTAGAAGGGGCAGAAATAATAATTTAAATTGTCTTGAAATTCTGATGAAGCATTAAGAGTTTTTATAGAAACTAAACTTCCCCGCCTCTTCTTCTTTCCCTCTAGTTGTGCCAATCAACTACTTAATTATATTAACTAATTTTACTATAAAATTCTGTAACTAGATGTTGACAAAATTTTTCGAACATTTCTTTAATTTTAATTGTTTTAAATCATAATAGGTATGAGAGTGCAGAAGTCAAATTAATAGTGCAACTATACTTTAGCCCATCTATATTCATGGTTTTGTCAAAACTTATAGTGGTAAAAAATGAGCTGAACGACCAGAACTTCACGAACGAAATTCTTTAACAATAAACAACACGTTGATCATATAGTTATTTTGTAATTAAAATTAATAACAATAAATTCATAAAGATGTGGCAAATTACATAATAACATAAATAATAGAATATAGCACGACGTATTAATAGCTAAAAGTATACATATTAAAAAGCTAAAAAAGAGATACAATAATTCGTTTACAAGAGAAGTACAACAAGACATAAATAGAAAAGTATTAGATATTTTACAATATTTATCTCTACAGATTATATAGGAGGTATACTATTTATATTTCAATGTAGACACTAATTTTTACCTGACTAGAACATAGTACATACTATCATTTTAATTATAAATGTGTTCGCTATTATTTTTTACATCAATCTACTATTCAAATACGTTATAATATTTTACTGTTTATATATTTAGCAAGTGAGGTACAGAAGTCCATTTCCATATTTTTTTAAATAAATTAAAATAAAAGCAAATTGTTTAACGATGTATTGTTCTAACAAAGATGTATTGTTTTAAAATTAAAAAGTATGAGTATAGTTAAATAAAATGGGGTGGGTCGGTTTTGTAGACAAACCATAGTTGACTGAATTATTTGTACTTTACATTGGATACACCCACAATAGTCATCATAAATTAAATATATAAACTGTGGTAGCTACTTCTCTACCTATTATGCGCTTATATGTATGAAAAATAAATTAAAATAATATGGTAATTTGAGAATTCGTTACATTTTTTTGGAAGTAATTACATATACACGCGTATAGATTATATACATATACAGTTAAATATATTATATTAATTATATTAATATTAAAAAAATTAAACCATCTTAATTAAAACTAAATAAAGTACAAATAATTTTATAAATAGACAATAGTACCCATCACCAAAAATTGACACGAGTAACGCGATTGTTACAATAACTTGTAAGTTGTACTTAAAAAAACCTAAGCGTAATGTAATTACTATTTGTACATTTTAGTTGGCCACTACTGGAACTTTTTATTTTGACATTTCAACGAGCGATATCATTTTATAAACGCTACACAAATCGAATCGAAAGCGTTTAAAATATGATTTAGGAATTTTATTCTGTTTTATGTATTTTGGGAAAATTAAATTATTTTATTTTCGATTTAGTCGAGTATAATTTAATTTTTTATTGGGTTTATTTATCTATTAAACAAATTTAAATACAGCAAGGTCAGATAAGTCAAATTTAAAAATATGTAAAAAATATTTATATTTTTATAAATGCGACTAATAGGGGAATTATTAACCTTTTTTTAAAATTTAAATTGAAAAAAGAAAGTAAGGATACCTATGTACCAATTTAAATATAAACCTGTGCATGATGATATTAGACGTGTAGTATTATACGTTATATTATAATTATTAAATTATTTAAACTTTTAGAACACGATAAAGGATAACGAGTGGTTATAATTATTTTTAATATCCATTTAAATAATATTATAAAAACTTAATACAAATAGGTATTATAGAGAGACACAAGCAGAGTTAGGTAAATAAATAATAATTATATCATAGAAATTAGAATTACTAAAAATCTCATCACTCAGAACATAATATAAAAAGTAATTTTGGAAAATTCCCACTAAGGCCATAATTTTATGTATAATTATACGTAATTGGCATTATGACAAAAAAATGTCATATTTAATGGACCTTTTATTATATCTATTAATGTAGTTTTTCGAAATGGTTTAGAATAAGTTTGTACCTACGAAGCTCATAGGCGTGCGCAACATATTTGATACTGGTGCTAACATAGTGTAACATCGTATAGGTAACTTCAGATTAGAGTTATTTCGGCTCTTTAAAATATATTCATCTTGCCTAAATATTAAAATATAATCGTTATCTTATTAATATTACATATTCGGTCATTTCAACAGCTGATTTGTGATATATATAGATAATATGTATTTTGAGTTATGATTGACCAATTCGATTTAACACTCGAATGGCCATCATAATTTGTTATGAATGCAAATTTGTGTTTTTTGTGAAGTAAATAACAAAACAAAAACCGTTACATATTTAGGCAAGAGCGCACGCCTATGAACTTGGGGTTCTTTCGGATCAGGTTTTGTCAGACCCCACTAGATCGCTGGATCCAATGGAGCTGATTGTCGAGCTGGAGCCGTGGTGCGTACCCGAACTCTGCATCGACATAGTCCTTTCGGTCGTCACCGTGCCAATTGTGCTGCTGATACCCATAAGCCCATGAATGTTACCCATTCTCAAGGCCCTCTTCAGTTTGTCGGGATCGACACAGGAGGGGTCTGCCTAGAACAATAACATCATGAGCACTCGCTCCAGAGACTAAAAATGTTATGGTATTCAAATTGAGCTCTTCCGAACGTGCGAAGTGTATAATGTAATATTGTAATATGTTCAGTACTTATTGGAATTATCTGTCGCACCTGATATGCTAACGAAGTCATGATCACCTCGTATGGTACTATTTTCAGAGGTTCTACTTCGTTCATTAACACGTTGGCCGGTATTTTATGATACTGAATGGACGACATGAAGTTCTCAACGAACACTTCCTTCCAGTCGACGTTTGAGTTTGTATCTCCGTACTTCATTGTCCACATGAGGGCAGCCTGTGTGTAATGTATATATATATATATATAAGATATTAATGTTCGAGGTATCGATATGTTGTAGGTTCAATTAAAAATTTTCACCTGGAATTTGGTGAATTCGTCGGCTTTTAGCTCGTCTCTGCTCAGTATCAATCGGACAACGTGCAGCGGCAACAAAGCGAACGAGCCCAAGTTCAGCACTTCGTTACCGTGTTCGTCGACAAACTCCAACACCTATAACACGAGTTAAATTTATTTGTGATACACTGATATTTACATAAAGAGTAGCCGTTAATTTTCAACCTTTTGAACAAGGCTTTTGGTGCACTTGTATTGTATGTAACGTTCGGCCGACGAAAGCAAGGCGCAAACCGTGTCCACGTTTATGCAACATTGAACAAAACCTGTGCACGCTTTTCGGAGATCTTCCAACCCGTAGTAATCAGCTGCATTTAACACGCCTATGGCAAAACAACCAAATAAGCTTAGTTAAGTTTCCCGCTAAACCTAATCTGTGGGTATACTATACTATAACGTCCCGTCTCTTCTCTCCGGTGTCATTTTTCGCGTTCCCTATCGATCGATTCTCTCTCCTACCCCTCACTTATGTCCCTAATGTATTGACAACAAAATGCCCCCGTTGTAATCATCTTATGGATAGAATGAGGTCACTTGCTAACAAGGATCCTTCACTTAATTTTTTATTTAACACGCACATTGTATTTCTTTGAGAAATTACTGTATTGTCCTACATGTATGTAATATTTAGACTTAACAATAAACAGTTACCATTCAGCAGCATCCATTGAAACCTAAGGACAAAGGAGAGGAATTTAAGAAAATCCTTCCTTAGTGTGCCTGGGCGTCCTCAAAAGCCATTAAATACCAAATTTAAACTTCCTGTGTATAGTGGTCTAGGCTGTGCGTTGATAAAGCATTTATAAGACACTTTCTTTTGTATACAGATTAATCGTTTTTGATATTACCCTACTATACTCTAGGGGTTTACCCGTGATGGGGTTTAAGTAAACGTAGAGCATGAATCGATTTATTATTTTTCTAAAAAGTTTTTCGCTCACCCAACAAAGTCCTAGGTTGCAAAGTAACACAACCGGTGTGTATGTATTCGATTAGTTGACGGAACACGTCAGGCTCGAATTCGTCGACCACGACAGTTTGATGCTGATTGGCCTGTGTCTGCACAAACAAACCAAAACGGGAATAAATATTGTAAACAAACATATCCCCGGCTCCTTAATAAATTTCCAATGCAACGACATGTACTTGTGTGTTGGCATTTTTCACGTTCAATAGCGGTTCGCTGCTCCGCTTCAGGAACGTCGGCCGTCTGAGTTTAGTCGTCTCTTTCGGCACCGTTTCTTTCTTTCTTTGCGGACTCGGCGGTTGATATAGCATCTTATGAAACACCCTGCCGCCGTAAAAGAACAACAATGTAAGTTATAGTGTATCCCGAGAAGCGACCATCTCTGGGTAGGTATAATTTTACCTGCTTCTGGCGGCCAAAACGGCTTTCACAGCGCACACTGGTTCTCGGGTTTCGCCGACCAAAAACGTGACGTCACAAAGCTCCGGCATGCTGGCCAAGAACGCCATGTCTTCGGCGAGGCCATTTTTGTTTTCAAATACGCTCTGGTCAAGCTCGTCGTCAGTGGATTCCATTTCTCCTTGAAGGCGCATCACTCAGCACATCCCTGCTGAAAACACAAGCCTTAAAATGTGTTCACCTAGCATGATCCAGCTATTTATTCTAAAGACTAATAATAAACAAATTTGTTGATGGTTTGTATACTCGTTGGCAGATTTGAATCAAATTTTCAATTCAGTACTCCTTTTATTTAGCTTCAATAAGGAGTTAAAATGATTTTAGTTTTACAATGCTGTGTTTTTTTTAATATTTTTGTGGGTGGACCAACGATATTTTTTAAACCACTGGACCTAATTACTATTAATAGTAGCAAGTTTATAAATAAAAAACAACGTGCTTAAAAAATACTTTAAAGAGCGAAAAATGAAAAAAAATACTCCCTCTCTTAAGAATTGTGAAAAACACCATAAAGTTTTACACGTTTCAAACTTAAAATAACGCAACATAAACTTTTTGAAAAATAGTCGATTCTTAGGTACAATTTTTTCAAAAATCTGTACTCACTTTATTATCAAGGAAAAACTAAAACCGTGATTACAAAAACATTTTAATTCTTATAAAGTTTAATATTTTTATCTGTTGATATTTAATTATTGCTTATAATTACTTGTTGCGACACTGGGCCATTTTATTTTTCGGAAATACCAAATAGTAATTTTGCAGATTTATTTATTGGTTTTGTATTAATCTTACGTGAATACATGATCAAAACATAATAATAAAATGTAATTTTTCTAGACCGCGTGGGCCATTTTCTGCTTACAGACAAATCTTTCCTTTGCGGCATTGTCGTATTTTATATTATTTTACACCGAAACCTATTGTTTATTTTTATCTTCTTTTCCTTTTCGCTATTATAGGTAATGCGTTTTTTTTATCTCATTCGTTGGACGTGAAATAAAATATGCCTTTGTCATTATATCTATCTTGCAATAATGCTCCTTTACAATCCCAAAAGCAAACACGATTCGCTATCTTTTAAAAGTTTTCTCTGTACCCGCTCAAAAGCTTAAAGGATTTAGAAAGCCACATCCACACTAATATAATACATGTTTGCAGCAATCGTACAATCAAACTTGGTAAGTATTCCCATTTCGGCACCAATATAATATCCACATTCCTAGATTGTCGAAATTCGATAGGAACTAGCAAATAAATCATTAACGTTCCATTCTATTTAATCATTATAGTCTGTAGACTATTTGATTTATATATTATTATTTATTATGATTTAATCTCACAAAGTTGACAAACGACTAATGCATGAAATACAAATTACAAACTAAGAAGTAACAACTATACATTCGAATAACTTTTGGTTACTGATTGAAACGTTAATATTATGATGAAACTTTAACAATCAGCACAACACCTGGGGGAGCACGTGAATTTCGTATTGTAAATAATTAATACGTTCGTCTTTGAATGGTTGCAATTATTATTCTTGTAAAAATATACCTGCCTAACATAAGCATGAAGATTAATTAATTACCCACTATTTGTTTATACTTGAACACGGTTATATCATTTAATTGACATTATAACAAATAACAATTTACCGTTACCTAGTTTACATTTTGTTCAAACCTCTCATTTACCGTTTCGACAAACTTAATCAATTCTACGCTAACGACTATTAAGTGTTTACCATTATTCTTGTCACTTCCTCCCGTAAGACTTCCCTACTAGCTACATAATACATTAATTCAGTCTTGGGCTTCCTATTATAGCATAGTATACATAGTGTACATATTATAGCAATTAAATTACTTTGGAGTAAATCGTAATGAACTAAAACTGAAGTCTAGGAAAGTTGGGGTTTTCTTAGTATCCTCATAATGTAACAAAAAACAATTATTTCACGATATTTCTTGCTAAATTTTTTTGCAAAATTATACACACCGACACACGTCATTTAAAATTTAGGTATTTCCAAAAATGTTGCACCTTTCAAGCAATTTTTAAATTTCAAATTTCTTTTTACCAAATAATATTTTGTACTGCGCAATAAAAAAATGTAATTTTTACATATTTCTTGTTTGTTAATATGGTCACACTGTATATTTCAAACAAGAATGATACCATGATTTGACAACTCCTACGATACGGTAGTTGATAAGTATTATGAATAATATTCCTATCATATTTACTATTATTGTTGTTGATTACTTGAATGTCGTCGTTAGTCATCAGACAAATATTACATTGTTGTTAATCGCATCGTCTATGGACTGTGTTAGATAGGTGGACACGGTTATTTATTTTCCTTCAAAAAATGTCTATAATATAATATACTTCCTACTGCTATACATGAATACATTGAGTAAGTAAAAAAATTAAGCATTATTATTTATTGCAAATTAGGTCATTGAAATTGATTAAAATGTAATTTTTGTTAACGCTATTTGTTAAATTTGTCTAAAACAATTATTAACTGCCTATATTATGCATGATGTAAAAAAAATATATAGGTGTATTCGTATACCTATATAATAATATATTTAATGTTGACATGATATTATTACATTGTTTTGTATTTTATTCCTATACAAAAACACTAACTTAAAAATTAAATGCCCTCACATTTGGTTTGGTTATGGCTGTTTGCACCAGCTGTTCTTAAATTTCAAGCATAAGTAGTTGAAGCAAATGGTCATTAAAGGATTAATTTAATAATTATTTTATTAGAGCCTACTTGAGTAGCTGTTTTAATTGAACTTGTTTAAATATAATTTTTTTAAACTATTTTATTGATTTGGTAAGGTTTTTTTTTTATTGCATATTGGTACTTTTGTTTTATAAGTGAATTCAATTTTCACAAAATCATAAGGGATATTCATTAAATGTTAATCTGTTTAAAATATTTTTAACAAGTGTCCGTTTGAAAATTTTAATTGCTTAACCAGATACGGATATTATGACCAATTGAATTCCTCATTTTAAATTTCCTTTTGAACTTTACTCTAGATATTTATATCAGCATGAATGCTTTTATCAGTTAATTATTGTAAAATAACATTAAAATAATAACATCCTAATTCTTGTTATTCCATAAATTTTAACGTTTGCTTATGGTTTTTTTTTTAATGATAATTCATTGGCATTTTAATTGTTTAGTACTTCTAATCTTGTATGAAATGTATTGAAAGGTTTTAAGTATATAAATATATTTCTCCCCACCTTTTACAATAATTATGTTGTAATATCTATGTGTACTTATTATAAAAATTATTTTGTTCTTGCAGCTCATATTTACCACAACTATGGCACAAACTACTACAGTAGAAACTATTACCATCACAAGACCATTAAAAGTAAGTTCTTATTTTTATATGCTGTAGTCGGGATGAGTCTAACGCTGCCCTCACACGATCATTATTATTGATAGTATTTTAGATACTGACAGTAATATTGATTGTGTAATAATCATACTAATGGTTTTTTTTTAAAGTAAATGTGTTAGTAATAATAATAATAAGTATGTAGGATGGCTTGAATGGCTTGATGAGGGAGTGATCCGTTGGCCACACCTCTAACTGATGGAGTTACAGTATACAAATTTGATATTGATAACTGATGAAAAAACTGGATATCGAGCCTTCAGTATTTATTTACTGATAGTGATATTGACCGTGTGTAGAAGATAATGACAATTCATTAGTATAATTTTCGCAGCCATGGGTAACGAAAGCTGAAATAAGGGTACGCAAGATAGACAAATTCTGCACGATTTTATTGTTGAATATAAACAGTTACCGGAATTATGGGATGTGCGTAGTAAAGATACTCTCTAGCATGTTGATGTTCATTTTAGTGCTCAATGATGCAACCATACTTAAAAGTTGATTTTGTAGTTATCAATAAATTTCGGAAATAATTATGGAAGCTTTTGGGTCTAAAAGTCGCACCTTGTTTAAAAGATTTAAATGAGTATACTATCTTCGTTTAGCAATCCACTCTATCACCCATCTTTTTCATTTTTTTGAAACTCGTTTATTTCAAATGGAAGAAGGTAATATAATTGCCAAACATGCTTTTTGATAATCATCTATATTCAAATATAATTATTTTATTAAATAAAATAAAAATATTAAAAAACGTAGATCAACAGTTTAACAATCAAACAAAAGTGTCAACATTTGAGTTGACACTATTTGTATTGATCATATTGTCAATAAGAATGATCGTGTGAGGGCTGCATTATACTTCAATATTTGTGTACAAGTCTTATCCATTATAATATATATTAAAAAAAAGTTTATAGACATTGTTTTATTGCCTCCTAAGTTGCTTAGCCACTATTTAAAAATATGTTGGTTATAATTTCTTAGGATAAAATTTAACCATTCAATTTAAAAGATTCTTTCAGATGTTTCTATTTACTCATTTTAAAATTAAGTTTTATCTTTTTGTAATGCATTGGAATTATTTCAGCTAAACAGAAATACATTAGGTAAAATTTAAAAAAATGGATACTTAAAAGGACATTATTTTATTCAGCTGTAAAAGTAAATAGATAAAATGTAAAATATTGTTATTGCTTTATTATTAATTCTTTTATAACCTTACTACAAAATGGTTTTCTTGTTTTGAAAATTAGAATTATTATGAAATTAAAGATAATTAAATAATTATTTAAGTAATGTAAGAAGTAAATATTTTGTCGGAATTTTTTTTTTTTTTAGTTAAAAAAATTTATTTGATTTTAGTGAACTGTATTTCACGTTTCCTTTTAAAAGCTTTAAAACATTTTGAAGGTTTTGAATATTCGAAAAACCCTCGAGTAAATCGTAAATAGAAGAAAAAACCCAATACTAGCAGAAACTCTTAACTTCAAAACTTGTTGAATTGTTTAAAATTATGCAAAATATGTATTTTTAATTAATGAATTTTAGCTTTAGATGTTTTAAAAAAATATGTATGTCAATGTTATTGTACAAAAGAACATAATATTTATAGTAACACATATTGTACATCAATATTAGTGTAGTGTAATCTAGTGTAGTTTAACTATTAATCAGTATAATAGTATATTGTTGTGAGCTTTCTTTCCTTATCCCCCTCCTCTTGGCTTTTTATAGCTGAATTCATAAAGGGGCCTACTGGGATAATCCTGATTTCTTGGTGGTCATGGCCATTTTTATGCTTATTATATTAACTAATGTATTTTTTTAATTAGAAAAAGCTTAGTAACATTTAAAAAACAAATAACTAATGTTTCATTAAATATTAGTTACATTCTAAAGTAATCTTTAGTAAGCTCGACGTTGGTTTTAATTTACAAATATTGTTATTATTCGCAGACCGCAGTTGAACTTTTAACTAGAATCATTTATTAACTAACTATGGTTACTTAACTCGTGAATCAAGAATGTTTATGCAATAAACTGTGACGTTGCACATTTGCGTTTAGTTGCTAGTTAATGCGTATACGAAAACTGCGTTAAGAATTATTTTTTTCATTTAGTTTTTATCTATCAATATTTTATTTATATTATCCATCAAATGATCGATGATATTTTTTTTGTTAGTGCATAGTACGAATTTGTTATGTATTAAATACAACGAAGCTATGACGTGGTCTATATAAGTCGTATTCATTCAGACATTTATTTCTGATATAAACATTTATACTCATTGTATTAATATTGTAATATTGTATTGTAATCAGTAGCAAAATGGTCAAACTGGTATTTATTTTTAACTAATACCCCATAAAAAATAAAACGATTTAAAACACTTCTTTTTTTAAAGATTTGTTCCAATAATAATGAAATGTTATAGTGCCATGCTAAATCTACCTTCAGTTTTTAGACGTTAAGAACTAAAATCAAAAGCATATTGTAAAAACAATAGCTTCTCAGCTCCGCATTGAACCTATAATTAAAACAACATACACACTTACAAAATGTATATACTATTTATATATGAACTTATATAGCCGTTCAGCATTAATGACAACATGGAAAAAAATATTATTTGTCTAAACGCTATGATATTGGACTGAAATTTAAATAAATTCATACAATTTTTTGTGTGAGTATGGTTTGCGGTACGCGCCCATGCGCTCATTCAACTGGTCGCCGCCGTCTGGCCACTAACGCATGCATATACAATATACATATGCACAATACCGTAAAATATAACGTTACCAGACACCAATAAAATATATTTAAATGAAATAAGGTTTGAAGTATTTTCAAACGGGACACTGCAGACGGCAAGATTGATTCATAAGTATTTTATAAATTAATGAGAATATATTATAGAAAGCATCGAAATCTGTATTCATTTAGTGAGATTTTTTCCAATGTGTGATTTTATACCAACTATAAAATACTCAAGATTCAGTCTTTAACCGCTATCTCCTCGTACACAAAACAATGACGTGTCGGCGCTTATGCGATAGCTGTACATACGTTAATATAATAGTTAGTATATAATATACTTTACTAACTTTTGTAACACCAAACTATTGTTTTTCTTCCCGTGGACGACGAACGCCTCCAAACTGTTGAATTTTTTAGACGGATTTTCTCGCGTTTACTCGGATACTGCTGAGCTCTTCTGTGGGCGAAGTGGCGGGCTTTGGGCGTGAAAACTATTGCAATTTAATAACACTCGGTGTGTGGTGTTTGTGAGGAGACGTCGCTGTAGGTTCTCTCTCGAGTGGTAAAGCGCACAATAGAGGGTCGGTCTGTGTGTGTGTTGAAGTTTCGGCGGCGCTTAAAAATGTCAGGCGCGACCATCATCGATCGGAGTCCGCCCACACCGCCACCAAACCTACATTGAGAACTTTAAGGGCTGGTGGCTGTAGAGGGTGGGAGATAAGGGTTTTCGGATAGCCCCGGATGCGCGTGCGGCAAAACGTGACGGCGTAGTACTGTGCAGGAACTGTATAATATACTACTGGTGGTGTATCGACAGCGAACGACGACCGCGATCGGGCAGCATAGTGCGTTTTTCCTCTGTTCGTGTATACAACACCGTATTATCAATTAATAACGAGACTAAATCGTATCGCTTCTGTGCCCGTTAAGAAAAACAAGTTCCTTTTTTTTTCGTTTCCCAATTGAGTTCGTCGCTTGAATAACATAAGTACTTATAATATACATATCTCCTACCGGCGGCAAGCCAAGTACACTGTCGACACTTCAAAACGGCGGCGGTTTCAGCAAATTTCGTCGGCGCAGTGGGTGGACGGTACGCCGGCAAACTGATTCAGACACGGGCGTCCACAGACGCCTGGCAGCGGCGCCAAGAACTGTCGCTTTATCCGGCGACAGGCGCCACAGCCGCTGTCGGTGGAGTCGTGGACGCTGAAGATTGGAGAGGACAGGGCGGTAGATCGCAAACCATGCATCCAGACAAAGGGTCGGGAGCCCAGGTAACAGCTATGGCTTTGTATAGTAGGTTCAGAGGAGACATGCCAAAGAAAAGACGCTCATGTCGATTATTTTAGAAAGGTTTATAAGCTGTGATTCTCAATAGCAGGTTCAAGTGGCAATTCATTGTATAGAAACTCGAATCAGCTGACAAAAAGAGAAAATTGTCGGACTCGGAAAGTGTCTACTATCGATCATAGACACTATTTGGGAGAGTTTAGCGCACCTTTAGTTTAGGGATTAACACCCTCGAAATGATTTGTGTTCTATACCTTAAGCTGTTTAAAACATTCTGAAGCTCCTCTGATTTTTTTTTAGTAAAATCGTGCCCTCGCTATGAATAATAAGAGAATAGACCATGCGTCCAAAGAAAATGATGAATGTTAAATTATTAAAATAAACGAGGAACCGTCTTTTTCTCTCTTTACCGTATCACGTTTTACAACTGTCAAATACACATTTGTTTTCGATGAAATACGATTTCAGCGTTTTAAAGGCTGTTCGTGTTTTCGCGGTATCATTTATTATGTTAAACGGATAGCGTAACCGCCAAATCAAATCTGACATATTATATTATTAATGTGTTGTTTGGGTAAAAAATGGATGTCTTATCATTTTTCTCGTCAGCTTGACTTAGCGTTTAATAGTATAGATAGTCTATAATTTCAATATTGATAAATTATAAAGTTTTTATTTTTAAGCTGAACTATTTAGAACGGACATAAAAAAATGACTTTTGTAAAATTGAATTAATTAAAGCCATTAAGACTTTTGAAACTCGTAATCAAGTACAAACAACATAATAAACAATTAATAATAATGCTAATTTTTACCAAACCATTTTTTAAATTAAAACCTCAGGTTTCGATTTATTCTTAATATAAGATAAAATATATATTTGATTTTCCGTTTTTGAAATGTCTAATACACAAAAAGGGCAAATAAAGGGGTGAAGTAGATGGGTAAAGTGGGATAAAAGAGCAATGTTTTTTTACTAGGTTAACAAAGTAAAATTAAATTGCTTCTATACCGCCCTCTTATTCGTTGATAGTAATTACTAATTACAATAATACCAAAACCATTCGAATAGAAAACAATTTTTGAACGCAATCAATTTACTAAAAAAAAACTATATTATAATATATTACTTATTACAAGTGCATAATATTTTATTTTTAACTACTGCCACTGGATTTGTCTTCTGTATTTTTATTTTTGTTTTATGATTAAACTGATATTTGTTTAAAGTTTATAAACGTTAAGCTCTTACATTCCTCCAGTGTATCCAATCGTAAAACTCGCCGATTACATTATACATAAATCGGGTATTATGTTGATTTTGTTCGTAGGATAGACAATAGTATTTTTAAAGTTATAAGGTGGGCCTGAAGCATAGACTTATGTGGGCTGATTGTATCAAGAGCTTAATTAATATTGTTTGTGTTTTGATATTTAATTCGCGAGTATTTGCATTTCCGTCGAAAGTTAGTTTAAATTATTTTGACATTTTATAAATATAAATAGATTAATTAATATCACTTTTTATGCTATTAAACAAAGTCTGAAAAGTTCTCATTATTCTTAGCAAATAAAAGAACAAAAACTTGATTTAAAATGTAATGCCTGTTCGTAGTATGTATACTAAAATATTTTTATGGTTTTTCATTAATTATAAGTACTTTTAAGTGTCCACAGCATAATAATACAATGAAGTCTTGTCTGAACAAAGCAACAGCGGTCGATGTAATAATTTAAAAGTCATTATAAACCAATGGCGTCAATCGGTCAATGATATACATTGTTTTTTTTATCGTGACTTTAAATATGTTAATATAGACCTTGCTGGTATAGATATTAAAAAAAAGTTATATTATACGTTTAAAGTAGACGCGTTATTTTGCCGACGCTATTTTGTATCCTTTTCGAGCTGGGAGGCTAACTGCTAAGGCTAAAGCATGTTCCATGCTAAAATCGTATTATTTAAACAATGTTAACTCTGGTCTATTATTTTTAACTTGGTTTATATTTAAAATTTAAACTAATATTACACTATAGTTTTAAAAAACAGATTTATTTAAATACTTGCTTAACGCATTGATCAAAGTACTTTTTTAATTTGCGTCATTGTTAACATGATAAAATCTTTAAAATTTGCAATTTTCAAAAATGAATACATAATTATTCAACAAAAAACTATTTTAAAATTGTGACACGAACGATGCCTTGTATATGTTTTAAGGAATTCATTATTAAAATGTTCTTCAAAACTTAAATGGAGTATTCTTAGAACCGTACTGTTAGAATTAGAATCCTATGTTTTAGAACTGTTATACATTTTTCAACGCGTGACTACTCTTGTTATAGCAAATAGTGCGTCCGATGAAAATAATAAAACGTATTCTTTTTAAAGCATCCTATAAATCTATTTCACATATTTTTTTTTAACACACAATTTGTTTTAATAGGTTTATTTAATTTTTTTTTTTTTATTATTATATAGATATTAATTATTATAGATTAATTATAAAGATGTGCCTTGAAAATATGTAACCGACAATTTTTAGTTCGAGTATATTTTGTTGTCTACTACTAGCAGTTTCTTGTCATCACAACTTTTTTGGATTTGTTCCAAAAAGTAATTACATTTCTACTGGTGTTCTTGTTCTTAAGGGTTTGTTCTTATCCAGCTCTGCCTTTAATTAAAAATAATTACCTTAGTTTTTCTTATTATTTTAAGTTGTAATTCAAGTTTTTATCAATAAAAGTTGGCAAAAACAATTTGAGCTTGGGTTTCTTTTGCCAACGTTAATTAATAAGTAATTGGGTGTTATGTAAATAAATAAATATTAAAGATAATAAATTATAATATTTAATACTTATTTTTAACTATTGATTTGCAGGTTATTGCATTCATATGTGGCCTAATAGTAATTGTCTTGATGCTGTTGGCTTTGACCTCCACTGATTGGCTATTATCTGCTGGCTGGCGACAAGGCTTGTTCTCACATTGCATAGCTCCCGGTGCTCCAACGCCATTACCCTTTAATGTGCCTAATAATGGTCCAGATTGTTATCCAACACGAGAAGTCGGTAAGTTACATGTTTATCACTATTGTATTTAACATTTTGTATTCTTTAGTTAATTACATTTTTTGCACTTAATATTACAGGTTACATACGAGTAGCTGCAGCATTGTGCATAGTAACATTAATAGCGGACATAGTAGCTACGCTATTGACCGGGCTAGGACTAAGAAGCAAAGACCAGCGAAACAAGTACAAGTTTTACAGAGTGGCGGTTTATGTCATGTTACTAGCGTGTACGTATTACAGAACGCAAATTAAAATGGGGTTAAATTTGGAGAAAAATTATTGTTTAGTATTATTAAATTTTAAAACATTATTTGGATTTAACATTTAACGTTATTAATTTTTAAAATGTTATTTAATTTTATTGTCCCAATGTTGATAGGTAACATTATTTACAAAAAATGTTGTTGAGTAAAAACGAGATTTTGGAACAATTTGGTTCCTTTTGTTTTTGTTATTTATTCATTTATCATTGATAAGATATAAAAGGGGGGATTGGCACATTTGTGGTCATTTTCTTTTTGGTGGCACTTGCAGTCACTTGTTTTTTTTTATTACTTAAACACTGGTTTTACAGGTTGGGATGGTCTGAATAAAAAAAAAAAGTTATTTTAAGGGTCGTATGAGAACCAAAAATGGTGAAATTACTGATTTCTGTTCCATTATAATAACAAAAATATAAATTTTTTTTTTATTTAATACATTTTGAGTTTTTTGCATTTTTAAAAATAAATAATGACGTAAATAAAAATACTCCTGGATATTTCCTGCAAAACCTCGAACATTAAGATGGCAAAAAAAATGTTGATTTTTTTAGATGTTAATTGACATATTAATTTGTAAGAAGATTTTGGAGCAAATATCGTGGAATAATTGATTTTTTTGTCAAAATCAAAATTAATACTGATATTTTGTTGGGTGGTCTATTTTTTATTCTCTGAACCAATTTGGGGGTTGCACCCAATAAAATTTCACTTAACTCAATAAATAAGGACTACTCAGTATAATGTGTTTTAGGTTTACTGATACTTTAAGATTTTTAAAAATTTATATTTATGTTTTTCTGATTTTCAATTTCCTTTCATTTGGACAAATTTTCGTTTTAAATTTTATCAATAACGTAATCAAGCCCTGATTAATGAAAATATCACTAAATAAAATTAATTGCAAATATGTGTTTATCTTTTTTTTACAGTACTCTCTTTGCTAATAGCGTTGATCGTGTACCCAGTATGTTTTGCCGCTGAACTCAATTTAGGTATAGAAAACTACTTTATTTGTATACTATCTTACAACTATTATTATTATTTTTACTTATTATTTCTAATATTTGTATTTTTTTTGTTATTTAGGAAACCGCAACGTTTGGGAGTTTGGTTGGGCGTACGGTATCGGATGGGGTGCGGGAATATTCTTGTTTGGAGCTGTGGTGTTGTTGTTGTGCAACAAGGAATCAGAAGAAATTTATTATAAAGAACGAAAAGTGACATCGTCTGCCTAGTGTGCGGCGCCCCTGCCCGACGTAGTACTATAGTGACCTTCTGCCGTTGGCCGACGACGGGTAGGGTGCTCTTATTATTGTAACGTTATGATAAGGCAAACTTAATTTATAATTATTAACGTACACGTCACAATTATGTTGATACACAATGTTGGTCGACTAAGAACTAAAACTACAAGGTGGGGGAAATATTTGCATAGCGCACAGTAAATAAAAATCCTTTCATTAAATTGTAATCAAATATTAGGATTAGGTGTTTATATAGTGTTAGGTCGATTCGTTTGTGTATTTTGTTATTCATGGGTTAGTTGACAGATTGAAATCAATCAAACATGTCGAAAAGATACTTCCATTTTGTATAGTTCAACTATCATAGACAAATGGTATCTACTATAACAAAATATTGTTTACAACACAAATATGTAATCTAAATCTATGTGTCTTGTCGTCGAACATTTTTGTAAACTGTTTTTCATTTCTCAAACGTTCCCAGGTTGTGTATAATACTTGTCTAACGAAAATTCATATCTATAATATTAACTATATATATAAATTTAGAATGTAATAGATAAATACTAAATAATAATTATTATGTACGCGTGTAAATAATAGTATAAAATATTAAACTTTTTGTGATCAGTGATTTTTTCCCACCCAAAGAAAAGAAAATCTTGCCCCTCTGAAACATACATTCCTATTCAGGTATTTTTTTTTGTATATATAATAATATAGTTGATTTTTCTTTAGACATTCCTATTCTTGTTGAATACTATCCCGTTATTAATTTATCAATATTTATTTTCACGTTAGTATTTTGGATATATTATTATTATTTATTATTCTTACCCTATAGTTATTGATTTTTATTCATTAGTTTAACTGTTAGCACCACTGCAGATTTTATAACTGAACATTTTGTGCTTATTTGATACCTATGTGAAAAATCTCGTAAACAATTGTTATTATTATTTTGATTTTTATACTTAACATTTTTTAACTATATTAATATTAAAATAGATATAAATTGTAATTATAATTGAACTTTTGAAAATTTTTATAGTTATCTGACATAACATATCTTAAGCAACCAGCGCTTGATAGTGCACGTTTTACTTTATTTATTTGTTTAATTGTAAGTTTAAACAGTGAAACCGTCCAACTAAAAATATGTTTGCCATCAGCATACAATTTTTTTCATAAGTGTTTGTTATTGGTTACTATGTGGATAACTTTCTGTAATTATTATTATTACATTTCTTTATATACATTAGTCTTATTTTTAATTTACCCAAACACAATTATTATCTATTAATACACTGTCTGTATTTCAAACTCCAATATTTGTCTTATAATATTAACACTTATTCTCTTCCAAGATAAATTTGTATATATAATTATAATAAAGTAAATATAAAACCTATTAATAAATTAGTTTTGCTTTTATTATTTTGTACGTACAATGATTAATATATTTTTTATAACTGAAGTGGTCAAAACATTTGAGTTTATTTCGATTCATTGACGATTTTTTAAACATAGTTATAAACGTATTATGTATTGGTATTTAATTAAGATTTTGTATACTTTTTCTAACGGTTATTTGGGGAAGTCCCCAAGTGGTGTGTCAATTAATGACTTATTACGTATGAAAATGTTAAACTAATTTATGCTATTAACTGCACATCGGTTTCATTGTTATGGATAGAATCTAATCATCAATTTGTCATAACTCATATCACTGATTAATTAATCAGCAATAAATTAAAGATAATATGGTAATAGGAAATGACTATTTATAATTCAATTTATGAAGAAACATTACTTTTCTGAAAGTCTGAAAGATTGTCGTGAGCATTATGTTATTTCAAATGTCATCAGTTCATTTAGTATCAATTTTAATTATATATATATATATATATATATATATATAATTTTTATATATTCTTAATTTATTTAATTACTAATACATTGATTATATTCGATTATGTCTGTTTAGATATTAAACTTGATTACATTTGTAACATACTTTCACGCACTCGACGATTGTGCGTTTATTGAATTATTATCTGACGATTAAAAATATAATAATATATGTCATATACATCAACGGTGGTAATTACTTATTGGCGTTTTGAGCTGGCTTAATTGCTAATATATTGGGTCGGAAATTTCACAACTATCCTCGTACTCACGTCGATAGGAATTTTTACAATTTCTGATTAGGAAACAAAAAAAATGTGGACACTATAAATGCGAAAATGAATTACTTATTTTATTATTTACACCAAAAGTTAACATTTAATACATACATACATTTATGTATATTTGGTTAATTAATCAACGACGCGACATGCCCAGCTAATTATTGTAGCTTGTATCTGCCGCTTTTGAATTTGAGGGAATTATTTCACAGTAATACATAATCAGTACATATAAGTAAAACATGGTGTAATATAATTAATGTTAAACATATATTATACATAACACACTATATATCATAACAAAAACTATTTAAGAGAAGAATAACTTGGTGGTTTCACGTTGTGATGTATATGTGCAGCTGACGCAACGAGTCCCAGAAGACCATACTCAACATTAAATGTGGCCCGAGCCTCATGTAACACGGCAGGATTCCTTTGTAGAGTCCTTGGACGCCTTCTTGTGTGAATGTTTTGGTCATACAGTCTAAGTACGAATGGTACATGAGCCCTCGACCTTTGACGTCGACGGCTAATGGACAATAGAAAAACGATGTTAGCAGAGCTTACGATAATACAACAAAAGTACAAAATATGAATATTAGTTATTGGTAAATTATTAGTCTGTCATACACAATTATTACACAGATATGCAGATATATAGTTATTACACAATCTGTCATTGATTCTCAAAGCTATTCTATATTATGATTTTGATAACCTAATTTAAATTGAAAAACACATTGTAAAATATTTGTCTTTTTAGTTCCACGTCGAAAAAAGTTACAGTCTACTTAAAGCCTAACGGCTAAAAATTATAAAACATGGAACATGCTTTAGCCTGCTGGCTCCTGAAGACCACGGTCCACTGGGTGTGTGAGATAGACTATTTCGTGTCGTTTTCGAGCTGGAAGGCTGAAGCATGTTCCATGCTAAAATTAAATTCCTCCTAGGAGACTTACTTATCTCCTTACATAGTACTAGACTTCTAGTAGTAAGTCCTGCTGAGTCCGGACGTCACTAGGACTATTCATTTTTTATTTGTTTAAAGATTTTTTTTTTTTTTTTTTATTACATAATCTATACAATTTTTATGCACAATAAGCGTAAATGATAAAATAGACATAATATAATTTTTCACTTGATGGCTTGATAGGAGAAGACACCCAGTGGTGGTACTCCGGTTATTTAAAGATTAGAGCTTTAATAAGCAAAATCAACGAGGTTTTTCATAGGGTAGAAAGGTTAATAGGTACAGGAATGAATTATTATCACAGTAAGTCGTACTAACGAACCATGACTCCAGTTCAACATTTGCCAATTAGGATTTTTCGCAATTTGGGATTCCTCCGGATAGTCATTCGACTACTACAGGGGAAACAAAGTAGGACTTCCCAAGGACATTATGTAGTGTCCAGAGACGATGTTGTCAACTGGACGGTCGAAGGACTCTCAGTGCTTTTAAGGTGAAGTACCAGAGGATTATCTAAAACATTTTATTGGACATCTGTAACTGGGGGAGTCTCTGCATTCCCAATTCAGACTCCTGATAATGTTTTCTTGGAGTATTGGTGCTGTTACGGTTACCGTGTAATGGTAAGTCGGGAACTCACTATCGTTTAGGAATCTCTAACCGCGATAACCCTCAGCATGAGGAGTCACTCTCACCTTGATTGTAGAGTCGCGTCGACACCAGATCGAACGGCGCCATCACAAAGGCAATGAACACGCCACCCAGCATGCTTGATATGAACGTGGCCATAATTTTCTGTTCTTTCCTGAGTATTTCGTTTTTGACAAACGCTTCGGTCAACAGGCTCATCGTGCTCAGTTGGACCGACGAACCGACGCTTATGCGCACCATCGCCCCGGTCGCGCCACGCCACAGCCCTCGGACCACCCCGTAGTCTTTGTATATTGACCAGAGGCCGCTCAGAGTGCCTCTGGTTTTGTGCTGGTGTCCCACCGCAATGCTCTTGGCCGACAACGATTGCAAATGGACTTTGACCTGTCGAAAGCCATATGATCGACTATTATACCTAAATATCATTTGCATGATCAATGCAGTGTGGTTCCCAAACGATTTTTACAATATCCCTCTCCCGTCCCAAAACAAATAATTGTTGTTATTCCATGTTTGATGTATACATTTTTGAAAACGAAAAATGGTCATACTTACTTTGAAAGTTTCGGATCTAAAATAAATATTTAAATAAAAAATAAATGTTTAGTACTTATTTTGGTATATTTTATTAAATTTTTTGAGCATGCGAATGCATGACGTATATTGCAGTTGTCTTAAGAACTTCTGGGTTCTAGTAATAATATTTTTGTAAAACTAGCGAAAATGTAATAGGCGTTTGATTATACGTTATAATTTAAAAGTAAGTACGATTTTCAATTTTTGTCTAAAAATTGATATATTGAAGTCAATTCCGCCAGACTAAATCTGACTTAACTATAGTTTGTTATCAAAAAAATTTACATATAATTGAAAAAATCGCTTGGGAGCCAAACGGCATTTGTTTCATAATGCTTTACCAGGAATAAGGGGCTGCCCACGAAGCCCCCCAATGTGCCGGCCGCCGCACCGATACCCACAGACTTGGCCAACGATACCGAGCCGTCTTCTTTGAGCAACCACTTGCGCTTCTCGGCCACGTCGTAAATACCGAACCTGGTGCCGTTCAACAACACCTGGTGTCCCATGGCCGGCAGCAGCCCCTTTTGTAGGGCAATGAACCCTTCGTTTTTGGCCACCACATAGAATGCATGGAAGAAGTTTCGGTAGTGCACCGTGTATTTTCCAGCTTTCATAAGCTCTCCCTGCAACTGGAATCTGGTTTTGATCACTTCCAACGGGTTGGTAAAGCATACGGCACAGCTTGCGGCCGTCGCGCCAAGTATGAATTCCATCTTATGTCATACCTAGATTCACAGACAAATACACCAGAATACGCCGTCAGACATGATTCGCAGTAGCGGTGGAACTTTCAAAATCCACATTTACAAAAAAAAAACAACAAGATAAACGCTACTGTTATTTTGAATTTTGAAAAAAATGCAGCATTACAAAAAAAAAAAAGTGTAAAATGGGTATGTAGTTTTTATATGACCAGAAAAGTAGATTCAGTTTTTAACGATCTAGTTTTTTTACGTGTGAGTATTGAGTAATTAATATTAAAATTCTTACCAGAGTTGGGCAAAGTATAGCATGTAGTAGATATAATTGATGAAAGTAAAATGACAAAGGAAGAAAGGCTCTTTATGTGTATCTAATGATGAGTAATAATTCGGTATCAAAATTTGATAATACTAACGAAAAGATCTAATATTTTATAGCATAATTGTGACTTAAATGAGTATAATACTATTGGTATTATATACATTAATACATCGTTGTTCGACATTTGTAAAGATAAGGGTTTCACTATCGTAAGACATTTAATCAAAATTATTAGCCAATAATTCTAAATATGCAACTTAAAATGTAAATTAAAATTTTTTTTTTAGTGAATTTGTAATCTCTTTGTAATAATGATGTGCTATCTTTCGACAATTAGACAAATTAACTGGCGATAATATTCATTATAGATGTTTGGTATAGATATTATTATAAATGATTTTGTTTAATTTAATAATACAAAATTATAGATATTTTGTTAGGTCAACCTAATCTAACCCGATTTTAAGATTTTTGCCAAGAACATGTATTTTAACTAGAGGTGCATTATAAATGTGCATCATGTAAAATTTAGTGTCTCGTTTAATTTCTGATTTTTTTTTTTTGTACAACCAAGCTGTTGCTATGTTTCTATGTGTATATGTACTTCTATACATCAATCTGACTACCTTTTTTATCGTTTTCGATATCTTAATTGACCTCCTCACACTATACATTATTTTCTACAGTAAAAGAATATGATTTTATTATTTTCGTTGTTATATTTATTTGAATAATTTTATAATGTAACATTGTGGAGATTAACTTAAGTATTTATTATGAGCTAATTTATAATGGTGTTTAATACTCGAGACTTTGAGATAAACATTTGGTATTGAACTGTAAAAATAAGGCAAAAAAAATTATTGTATGTAGTAAATCAATTTTGCGAGCATGATTTCTTTTCGTATGTCACTTATGACCGCGAACTGCCCTTTTTAGGCTTAATAAACAAAAATTTGGGCTTTTTTTTATTCTGTCTATTTTCAAAATTTTTTAACAACTGGATTTTTCTTATGCAACAAGAATTTTCGAACATAAAAATATGGCACGCTTTATCTTTCCGAATTTACAACTAAAATAATTCTGAAATTATTTGAAGTATCCTTCCGATCAAAAGCGAAAAAATATCTTTATACAACCCTTTTATTTTAAGAATTGTTGGAAACTATTACTTTATGTAGTTTTTTGAAATAGTTTTAAGACTCGAATAGGAACAATTTATGTAGTCTATACTTTAAATAGGCAAACGGGTTTTTTTGGTCATAATTTATTTAAATTTTAAACGTATCTTATATAATGGTATTTATATAATACTCAATAGTTGGCTTGTTTGGAACATTCATAATCAGATAAGATTATGAATTAATTATTAAATTAATACAGTATACATATTACATACGTCAATGTAAACTGTAATAGATTTAATATAACTTTAAAATATGTCGGATTACCATAAGTAGATATTTTTTAATAATGTATTGTTTAATATAATGCTGTAAATATGTATTATTGATAAAAAGCTTTCATTAATGACTTAATAAAGATATTATTAATATATTAAGATTATCTACATAATACATTATTTGGTAATTTTTAATTCTATCCTTGTCGTTAAGTTAAGTAGGTACGTTCATAAGGGTCCATAATAAAAGTCGAGTTCTGCTATAATAACTCAGATTGTTAATAAAACAAATTAGAAATATTTACATGGGGTTTGACTTTTAAGCCACATTTTAGTTTGGTGTTCTGTAATCGTTGGATAAGCCCCTTAGTCTTTCTTAAAAAAAAATATTATGTAAGTTTATTAGGTGTATTAAAGTGTACGTGATACAACTGAAATTTATTTTAATAGATAGATTTGTTTTAGTTATTATAGAAAAAACACATCGGGTGTTGTTTGCAAAGTAATAAAACTATAAAATTACAAATTTATTAATTATTGTAGATATAAGTTAAACAGTTCTTATTTTAATTTTCAAGCAGTATTGACCTCATATACAGGGTGATCAACTTATCACGAACCACTCAATATCTTATTTGGTTTAATTAATAATTAAATTTTTTTTTCCCATTATGTTTTTATACAATGTGATCAAGACACGTAGTTGTATAATATAATATGTTAATTGACATTTTTAATTTGGCAATCATTATTAAAATATTTGTATTACCCTATTATCTTTTATAATATATATTAGATGGTTCGTTATTCGTTGGTAGAAATTTGAGGTGGGAATCTTCAAACATTTTACTTGTGTAATTAAACAAAATAAAAAAAAATTACTCATAATATAATACCTAAATACTGAATTTAGTAGTATAAATTTATTTTTTATAACCACGATCGTCCTCTGTTTTTTTTTGTGTCTGTAAATTATTGTATATACTACTCTCACAAGGTTTTTTTAATTGTTTAAGTAGGTTCTTTTTTATAATTTCTTTCAAAATTACCAATTTTATGAATATTGTCAAACACAATTTTAATAATATGTTTAATTACCATTATTAAATAGAATAGGTAGTTAGAATTCATTGTATTTGTATTCAGTGTTTAGTTCCAAGAGTAATTTAAATACAAACAAATTATGACTATTATTATCATGTATAGTTAAATGGAGTAATTTTTTTATTAAAACAACTTTTATACCGTTTTGTAACATTCAGCGTGACTCCGATGGATGTGGCCACTAACACCGCGTACGAGACCGTTGACGAAAACTCATTCACTCACTCACTTACTGCGACTGTCGTTAACAGTCATTGACGGATATTACTAGAGGCTAGAGCCCGGACTGCGGACACGAGGCTATCGCACATTTACAGTGGCAGCCAGTGAGAAGCTCCGATCAGCTGTTAATAGTGATTCGGGCGGTCCCGCATAATATTATAGTAACCTTCAAACGCCGTGTTTTATTCTCAGAATAACATCTTACATTATAATATTTACATGGTTCATTTTAAATTGTATTTACAGTAAACACACGCCATTCACGGTAGTTTAAAGGAATCATTAACAGTACCGGTGTCTCATTTTTTTGCCAGGAGAGAATATTCTTCGTTTATTATTGTTCACTGATTATATTACCTACATTTGTGGGTCCAGTACTTAACGAGGGTCAATTTTTTTGCAAAGTTTACGAAGTAGTTTTATGTGCAGACTTTTTTTCGTTCGTCATAACGCTCATTTTCTACAATTTTATAGTTTTTCTTTTTGAAAAACGTTTTACTTACGTTATCGTAAAACATTCTAAAATTAACAAATGCATTTTTTTGATAATTTCCAGATTACCACGATTTCGCAACAAAAAAAAAACCCTTTTATCTATTCTTTGACAAATTATATAGCAGACACATTTTTGCCAAACATTTACTCATAAGATATTTATTAAGCCATCGTTTTATTGAATCTATTATTCGCACGCGGTGTACGGCTAACGCTGAACACCGAACAGGTATCCGATACGGAAATAAGATCAAACTAGAATACGAGTATAAACTAGAATACATTATACATATTATGGCTGATATCCTTCATACTATGAACACCAATTGAATTGTAAAAAAAAAAAACTAATTGCTGTTAAGCTTATAGACACGTGATTCGTGAACACGTTTTCTGTCCAATGAACTTTATCTCTCGGTAATGTCTAATGATAGTGTCAAAATGATTATTCTACGTGCGACGTTGTTCGCGTTGTGCAGTAACGGTTTTGACAATTACTTATTTTACTTAGGTATTTATTATTTATCCTAAGAAATTGTAGTTTATTTTTTAACACAAAAAAAAAAATACTTCAGAATTTTGTCGTGTAAGTTTTTTACTTTAGCGATTTAAACCAAAGATCAGATGCAAAAAAAAAATGTATGCGCTTTTATTCTACCAAAAATATCAAATTGTGTTGTTCAGTGTAATAACCAGTTAAATAATTTATATAGATAGGTATTAAAGGCTGTACATATTAAATATTGCTACAAACTTTTATATTCGTTCTGCAAACAACAATAGGATCTTGTACAGAATCAATAGCGGAAATCGAAAAACGGCCGAGTCCTCTCAAAATATTAATTATTTACGTACAGATTCTTTTTTGAAATTTTGTGATCGGGTTAATAATATTCTTTTTACGCTCCGTTAAAACATAACGTGTACATAACTACTTATAGTTTTTTTTTAAACCCACCCAAATACGTTTTTTTTTTTGGTATACCCAAACACAATAAAACCCATATATTTGGTTAAATACTAAAAAGGTATATTGAGCATAAATATAAAAAAAAGCGCTGAATTTTTGTCAACTCCGATTTGAAAAAATTCTTAGACCGCATCGACGTCGTTTAATGACTCAGTTAATTGTTAGAGTTACAATTATTGGATATTGATAGCGCCAGAAAAAATGATTAGAGTATAGCTGACGATCTTAGATTATAGGTCTGTATCAATGTTTGATAAATGATAATCATTTAGGTTGCGACAAATGGAATTTGAAGTAGCTGTGTATTAGGACAGTTATTTAATTATCCCGGTCCCTATTCAACATATCCCAAGTATATGTGCATTAATTACATTAACCGAAAATAATTGGCTAACGCGATAGTTGGATTATTTTTTTAATTGGATATTCTAAGAATTCTAAGATCACAAGTAAAAATTCAGTTCAGTGGAACACACCTTTGACTAGTTTTTCCCTCTTTCAAATACTTCGGATTACAAGATTTCATTAAAAAATTATTAGTTTTTCTTGTTCGTTATTAAAACAAATAACTTTTCATATTTTGAAAATAACGTTATTTGAAGTTATTTATTATTTATTTACTTCAAATAATCTTCTTCTCCTTTGTCTCATTTATCGTATTTGTCCACACCATTTATAACTTCAAATTTTATTTTATTTAAATGTATTTTTATTCGACTGTTACAAATAACCTGTTATTTTTCTTCTTCTAACACCGACTTCCGAGGAAGGTTGGCGAACATATTGGCTATTCTTAATTTAAATATGCTGGTCAGTTTATGTTGTATTATACAATTTTCTTTTACGATTCCCAACTATAATATCTATCCGTCTTCTGCCAACGCTTCTCATTCCTTGAATATTTCCCCATATTATTAGTAAGGTTATAAATGATATTTATCGCTTCTCAGGTATTTTAGTTTTCGACATTTTACTGTACATCATTGATCTTTATCCCGTCTGTTTAAGGAATAGGAACGAAGCATTCGCCGGTATATCCACATTTTGAACGACTGTCTTTTTATAGTCTTTTCAGTCATAGCATCGAACTACGCAGACCCGCAATTTGAGGCCTAAATGTGAGCTTTTTCATTTTAATGATGACAGTCCTGGCTTACTATATTTTTGCTGGTGATCTACTTGATTGTTGACCAACTATCCAAGCACTTAAAATGATTTAGGTACTTGCTGTATTGGTGCATTATTGTCTATTGAGCGTAATATTAGCTTGTTTTCAGGTTCTGTTAATAACCGTCACTGTAATTTTTAATAAATATTTATTTAAATTTATTATTTAACATTTTCATTTTATTTTAGTTATTATTTTAATTTAAATGTTTTTATTCAAATTCTATAAAATAAAAATGTATTAGAAATTATTATTCAGAAAATCTAGTTGTTCAAGTATAAAGTTATTAAAGATTTATTATTGGAGATTTTATTAAAACACAGTTTTAGTTTAAATAATTGTTTAAGATTTTATTTAAATAGAAAAATTAATTAAATGATTGTCAAATCTAGGTGAAAAAAATTGCAACAGATAAAATTGAAATACTTTATATTAACACATACTTACACAATAAATTTGTATACTTATAAAAACATTACAATTTACATATTTACAAAATAAATTTATTGACATACATATTTTTATTCTTAAATGGTAAGACAGTAATTTTCATATTCTTTGTACATTATTCATTGTTTGTTTTAATTTTTTTGTTGGTATTTTTGCAAAAGACTTTTTACATAAGTGCATTGCATAAGTTATTTTAAAATTGTATTAAAACTTAATAATATAGGTAGGTACTTGGTATTTTATTGCTTTTTCTGAAAGACGGCCACCATTTTTTAAGAAGTCTCAATATTACAAAATACGAATTTAAGAGTAATATTAGTAGCCACGAGCACAATCAAAACATAACATAAATTAATTTTTTACTAATACACTTGATTAGAGTTATTTGCAACGAATACATAGAATTAAAATTTTAAAAACAATAAGTATCAAAATAATATCTTATGACATAAATAACGGCAAGGACTACAACATAATATAAATATAATTTTTTTAAAAAGATTGCTATGGTTTAAATTTTTAATAATTTTTCACAATGGGTATTTTTATTAATGTTTTAACAAACGCATTTATTCTAATGTTTCATACAAATTGTGATATTAATAATATTTATTAACCCATAATAAATTATTAAGTTAATTATGACAATATAATTTATTTACTGTTGGACAAACAATTACTTGTTTTAAAAATTACTACAGAAATTACTAGTAATTAAAATACTTCTTGTTGAAGTAACAAAATAACTTTTATTGAACTTTGGTTATTATTTAATTTTATAGTTATAGTAAAACGTATATTATCAGAGTATTTAAATCACAGTTTGTTGGCATTGAATTTACATTAAGTACAAAACGATAATATTATTATTTAATCATTGACATATATGTTAGAATGTAACACATTTTCAAACTTATCAGTTTACAATTTATTACTTTTACATGAATTTATAAAAAAACTTTTGAAATTTATTTCAACCATCTATTTTAGAGATAAATACAAAAACTTCAAGGCGATAATAATGTATTGTGGATCATGCTTTTTTCATATACCGTTATTGTTATTAACGAAAATACCAATTAAAAATAAAAGTAATTCGGTTTTAATCAAATTGAATAAGTTAAAAAGTATCTAAAGTATGACTTTTGAATACAATTTAATGGAAAACAATTGAATAGTAAGTTGGATGCCCTCAGTCTGTCCATTATAAAATCCAACAAAAAAACAAAAGTTTCTTGATGATATTAAGACTTAAGTTTTGTTAAGCAATTTTTAACTCAAAACAAAAACAGATCTTCTATACGCTATTAGTGCTACAGTGGCATTAAGATAAAGTGGTAGGGTAAATGGTGTGTCAACTTCTACATTTCTGAGTACAGTACTTTGAAAATCTGCAGATACCATACATACATAGACGAGTGGAAAGTGAGTACACACAGCATATACCCTCACGACCAAACCACCTGAACTAATCCTCATCGAACAATAATATGCAAGTATTGGAGGAAAAAAAACATAATTAATAACAATCATTTCTTAGATTAAATAAAGTTATTTATATAATAGTAGGACAATCATCCTGGTTGTATTTGTCTATTTTATACAAATGTAAAATTGACTTGATTAATTTTTTACATTGGTAAAACAGAGCTACACTAAACGTACCGTAACATTAACATTTTCAGTACATCTTAAGTAATATACCTTACTCTACTAAAGTGTTAGTATTGCAAAGTACATATTACTGATAACAGCGACTAGAACCTTACAAGATTAGTTTTTACGTATCTATAAAAAGTAAAAACACAAAAAGAGTAATCATCGTTTTTATAGACATAGTAAGTCTATAAACTTAAATTAAAATGTTCTCTCTTTTTTTTTTTTAACAATATTTAGTTTACAATTACATAAATTTGTCTCACAACACTCAGGAAAAAAATTGTATTACCGTTTACAAAATGAAAGAAAATTAATTTATTATTAAATTACAAATATCTTAAGTCAATTTGGATGTATTATTTTTTCGTATATATATATGACTGAAAAAGTGAAAAAGGTCAAAAACTATTTATCGAAAAGAAATTTTCTAGTGTGTTACCGACACGATCATTGCCACATATTGTGGTTGTGTAAATTTCTACTAAGAACACTACGCACATCGTCCGTGAACCGTAACGCATCTAACATGGGTAAAAGGTTCAACAATGCCGTGTCTGACGTATCCGAGAACCACGATTTAATTGGAATTGCATTGTCTAAAAAAACCAGTGTTATTATTTTATAAACAACTTGAAAAAATGTAAATAAATGAGTAATATTACCAGGAAATGCTCGATACGCTGCGGGTGAATTGTCAAGAATGAATACACTAGATAGATCACTAGAAACCGACGTCAGATCTTTAGTATAGGAACCCATCTCGGGTGTGCAGTGTTGTCTGTAAAATCGTCTTTTTAATATTCCTCTACGGTTGTCTAGCTTATCGGCAACTGCTGCGCCATATATTTGCATACTAGCCGTAAATACTACCAACTCGTACCATTTTGAAACCTACATTTAATAAGACACACAAATAGAAATTCAAACAGTTATACAAGATTATAATAGCTAAATATCATTCAAACATAACTTTTTGATTAAATTTATGTATAAAATAATAATTAAATTAAATTATAATAATATTTGAATGAGTTAATTAATTCTTCTTCTTCTTTATCTTCGCCTTACACTCCCAACTACATGGGGTTGGCCACCCTAGTCCTATACCTCCATAGAGCTCGATCTTCTACATCTCGTTCAATCACCCCCGCTATCATCATATCACTCTGTATTCCGTCCACCCATCTTTTCTTTGGTTTTCCTCTTCCCCTTTTCCCCTCTACATTCATCTTCATTACACCTCTCACTGTCTCTGCCTCATCTCTTCTCATAACATGACCAATGAGTTAATTAATTAATAAGCTAATTAAAAAAAAAAAATTAAAATACTTACAACATCTAAGAAAAAATCTACATGCGGCCTTTTGTGAACATAAAATCGTACTGGATGCCGCTCAATGGTAACTTTTAAAATAAAATCTGGTGGCATTTCAGGTTTGGACGGATGTCGTAAAACACCTTCGTGGTGAGAATGAATTAATGTTTCGTCTAAATCTAGCACCAAAACTTTTCGTTTAACCATACCTGAAACAATAATAAAAAAAAGATTTTGTAATGAAAATCCTAAATTCTAAACATAATGGTTTTCATTACATTTAGAAATTCAAAAATAGGTAACGAGAAAAAAAATTATATTAAAAACTATTTCTTTTCTTAATAGTATAACACAATACTTTATACATCAAAGCCAGTTACGAAAACTAATACGTTTCGAAAAGTAGTATGCTTTGTTTTAATGCCAATCAAGATATTTGTGTCTGTAATGACGAGAACAAATGAGTTTTAATTTTGGGCTTCAAAGTAATATTTTTCAGCCATTTAAACCCATGTGAAACCGAATGTATTTATATTTATTTTGGTTACAAACAGTGAAAAATATTAGTCTGTAACGGTCATCAATATAATGTCAGGTATTTTTTTAGTTGTCACTTACTTAATCTATGCCTGGACAATGGCAAAAGAGGAAATACTCCATATTTAACCGGCTGATATTGTCGAACCTGTAGAACAAATATTATTAATGAATAATTATTGATTTCATTTTAAATTAAGTTGAGTATAGATTTTTTGTTTCTCTAGCTATTCGAAGATCATAGACTATAAAAACATTTATTTATCTTGTTATTGTTGTTACAAATTTTACTACTTTTACTATATGTAAAGGCCGAAGACTTAAGTCAAAATGAAAATTATTAAGTAATGTAATTTGTTAATAACAAAATGTATTTTACAAAGTAGCTTTCTAATTGAATTTTTAGAGTTATATTTATAATTGCTGTACGCTTATTAAATGTTCGTTTAAACAAGATAAACATAGAATTGTTTATTGGTAGTTTACATCTATATACGACGTAATAATATAATCAGTGTAAGTAAAGCATATTTTTTATTTAACTATGGGTATTTATTATCGTTTTCTCATTGTAAATTATAAATTTTGATTTAGATAGACGTATAAATGTTCAAGTGTTTTTACTTAATTTATATTATGTGAGAATCAACAAATTTTTTTTTATAATAATATAATTTACCAGTACAAAATGTAAAATTCACTTTTGCAATTTGATTAAAATTTTAAATCTTTACAAATTATAAAAAGTGACACTTACAGTTTTTATTTGACGTTTGATGAGGAAACATATACAAGCCCACACCTTCGAAGCTAAAGCCATAAAAGCTTGAATGCTCATCTGTATGACTTTCAACATTTGTGTGGTGATATCTATTGCTGCTGCCACATAACTTAATAGGCCCGAGTTGATAATTGGCAAATTTAACTGCAACTCGTAAGTCTACAAACCATTTCAAATTGTCATATATGTAAGGTATCCCGTATCCTTGAGTATGAAAAAACGTTTTTAATACTTACCAAATATGCATTTAGTAAAACTTTAGGATTACATTAAGCGTTTCGACAAATGTATTTTGCCATGAAAACGATATTTCGTTAAGGTGATAATTATTATTGATTCTTGTTAATGGTGTTTTATTAATATTCAATACTATAAAATTAACAAGGAGATCAAATTGAATACAGAAGAAATAACTTTTTAAAATTATTTGTCTACTTTGATTTTATTACACCTGTAATCAATTATTTCTAAACAACAACACTCTGTGATAAGAATGTCACGCCATCATGGACGATTCCAAAGAGATTACACAAACGAACGTATAAGCTTCGAAACGAATCCGAGAGAGTGTACTGTCCGGTCTTATAATTTGTATTTTCTTTAGGCTGGTTGAGCAATAAGTTTGTATATTAGAAATAATAATAATATGATAAATGATTATTCGTTATAATTTATATAGTATACATTTCAATAAAAAAATTAAATTTCACTCCCAATATCCCGACAGAAACTGATGTCTGATTATTATTAAAAAATGCCATGAATTTTACAAGCCCAAAACTGGTGTAATTATTATTTAAGTTGTATAATAATAGTTAGCTTGAAATAACAAAATTCGTTTATGCCTAACTAGGTTCTTTGCATTGAAAATAGATAATTGAGTCTATTTTTAATTTAGCCAGTAACCGGTATTTCTAATTAAGAATTTACGAGGCATCGATCGTAGAATTCTAATTAAAGGCTTAAGCCATCGATAACATATTATTATAATTTTTACCTAGTCTCTACTTAATCACTATTCTGGGATTTCCAAAATCCAGATTTACAATAAATCGATACAAGTATTGTAAAAATGCTACATTAATAAACAACGTCCAAGTATAAATATATAGGTAGTACAAACAAAATATTTAAAAACAATACCGAATAAGCAAATCGATTTAATTCTCGAATTATTTTGATGTTATCGATTTTTTCAGCAAATATTTATAATTTGTGAGTCAAATTACTCAAGACCTTTTGTAGCTACAACGGTTTTTGTGAAAATTCGAATTTTTGTGGTGCCACCCACACATGTCTACAGTTGGACAAAATTGAAATAAGATAACGGATAACATATTTATCGGCGAATATTAGCTAATATTTTGTAATTTGTGAACAACGTTATTTGTAATTCAAGAAGTCAAGTATAATTCGTCTATTTATTATTTATACATAAGTTATTAACGCAGGTTTCAAATTTATTTCAAATACATTTTTATAAATAAAAAAATGTGTATATATTTAATTATTATTGTTTGCCTTAGAATGTTTAAGAATTAATTATTTGAAGAAATACAATTATCCGTATAGTGCCAAACTCTAGTTCTAATAATTATGGCTCGCGTTGGTGCAAAGGCATGGACTGCATAAACCGTACCCACGCCCATGAGTGTAATATTTTCAGTGGTACAGTATATTATATGCAAATCAGTAAACATCGAATTCGACATGTTTTGTGCCCAGATATAGCCTACCGGCCTTATCTTGTAGCTACCACAGATAACAAAATGTCGACAATACCATCCAAACTAAAAGCAGACTAGATAGCAGCCGTGAGCCGTCACAGCTCACAACAAACAGGCGACATCAACTACTCAAATAATACAGCGCAAAAAATCATACATATAGTTTACCCAAATATATCCAAATTTATGTTGTCTGAAGAATATAATGTATCTTTTTAAACCCTCGCATTAATGTCAAAATCCAAACAAACTTTTAACATTTAAATATCATATTATGATGTCGTCGGCGTGTATTCCAATCAAATTTCATATCTATGTTGGTGGTCCTTTCATACGTCTAAATTAGATTACTCTGTGTTCCATGTTTGGTTGTTAACCTATACCAATATAAATGTCACATTTGGCGCGACGTTAGATTAATCGATAATCCGACCTCAGCAAATTTTCAGTTGCAGTTGATTATATTCGTGCTGAAAATAGCATGCGCGAACACTTCAAGCGCCGGTATAAGCTAGAATATAGCTTATATATTATATTATATTAGTCCATTTTAATATTAATTTACAACTTTTTTAAAAAAAATATATACATTTACCAACGTAATGTATTACAAAACAGTTTGACAAAAGTCCGACAAGCACGGACATCCTTGACTAATGTGCAGAATCAAATGATCAAATCCTCTATCTATATAACTTGTAATGTGTCCCTACTGTATGCTGACTCGGCCAGAGGCGCCATTTTAACCCATGAATATAACTATTTTTTTTAAAATTTTATATATAGTGCGGACTCAAATTACTCAATTGTGTTTCATTTTAATAACAACTAATAAGTAGACGGTGAAAAAAAATGCTGGGTTGTCCGATCGATTGTCTAATCTTGCGACCGATATAATACATGAATAGCAGTTCTTAGGTATGACGAATTATCTAACCTCCGGCATTGTTTTTTTTCTTTTGCCGCTGAAAATCATTACTTTGTAAGTCATGTATGCACATTTTGTAAACCATTACAAGGTTAATTGCCGCATTTATATACATCGTCGCGGCCGCAGAACGTATATATTATACCGTTACACTTATCTATCATCTGTGTGCCCATCATCTATCTAATGTGTAATTATTTCGAGATAGTAGACTCAAAAGAAAACGTATACTACTTAAGTGTGATTTGATGTTTACACACGATAATAACGACCGTTTTAATTGCAAGCCAATTGGCGACAGGGGCGGCCAACATTAAGTGATGCTAAAACAACGCAAATAAGCGTTGTTTACCTATACCTACTCTAAACGTTAGCCATTTATTACTTGTTATCGTTTGTTGGTACACATTCCAGACTTACAGGATTTACAGGTGCATTTTGGTTTCGTTCACCGCGCGTACCCTTGACCCAGACATGTCGGCTGCATCCGAAAAGGTCACTTAATGGCTACACAGCATAATACAGCAAACGGTGGTCATAAATCACGGGTCGAGCCACCGACGCCGACGGTCATTAGGTTTGGGAAAGAAAAAAGAAGTGTCATAGAAAGCACCATCGCCGGGGCTATGCCGGTGTCCGCGCAACAAGAACTCTATAGTTGGTGGCGGGGACCAACATAAAAAAAGTGAAAATAAACAAAATGAAAAAAATATATATAATATCAAAGGGGAGAGACGCGCACAATACGTGGGCTCCACTTGTTGAAACCATCGTCATTTATTATCGTCGTGAATTTCGGTTAGGAGAGAAGGCCGGCCGGGAGTTGATCCATTCATGTGTTTGGTCGTTCCCTTTAATTATTTGTTCCAAGGTGTTAGATTTTTTTTCTCTCCCGCCGTGGAATTACGGCGTATAGACTTCCCATTCATGCGGTATCCGTGTGCTGAGCATAGGGCCAAATACCTATATGTACGCTATACCGTGTTCTAACGTGTGTCCGGATGCGACTGATGACGATTTCATTTGGAACCATAAATCAGCACATCGGGTTTATTATGGTAATCCTCCGTTTTCACGTCAACAAAGCCGAGACGTGGGAAATTCACTCTGGTACTTGGAAATTGTTTTCTACCCTCAAACACGTCTTCGTATAAAACGACATAATCCTATAAGACCACTGCTTAGATAAAGAATAATGCGCGCAATGATAAAACTAACAGCCGTTTTGTAAAAAAATTGTAACTGTAAACTTAAAAGCAGCACCGTATTTATTTACCCAGGCGCTATTGGTAAAAATAGTATTTTTTAAAATAAAATAGCTTCTAAAAAATTACTGTTAGTCAAAAAGTAAAAAATTTGTACGAAATTAAAATGAACTCAAATAAATATAATTAGTACTAATGAAAATCGGCAATGTTCATCACAAGCATAACTTTACAAGAACATTATGATAGGTCTTTGTTTGCGAAAATTTGAACACAAACATGGAATTAACAATATTCTGTACACTCGTTTGTATGCATAAAGTCGCGAAGAAGAAAAACTAGTGTTTATTGTTATACATAAAAAAAAAAACAATTTATAATATGCTTATGATTGTACTTTTAGTGAGAAGTAGATACTTTTAGGGTTAATCGTATGTCTATAAAAATGTGTTGCCGTTGTTTCCATACAACGTAGTTAACAACATTCTATAGGTCATATAATGAGGGGAATATTATAGACGTTAATTGTATAAGTCAATAGATACTTATTACACCGAATTCACGGGTTATCAATAGTTATAACACTATTTTAGTCTATTAAATAAATGTCGGCGCTGAAATTACCTTCTCGGCCACTTGAATAGATATTACAGTGACCTAAGGCGTAGACCCCGAAATTCCTGTACAGTCGCCGCGGCCATCGCGTCGCGTTGGCCGGCTTGCTTGAAAAAATCCATTCTTTCACTGCGAGTGCGTTTAAACGGTTTTTCTTATATTTTGTATTATTGTTATTATTATTTTTTATTATTATCGTGGTAAATACATATACATGAGTAATACAAGTAGCCAATACACAATCGGATAGCGTTGAGAACAAAAGACCCTGGCGTTGACCTGCGGCTTATTAACGGGCGCGGCGGCGGCGGCGGCGGCTTGCAAAGAGGCGCATACTCTGGGCCTATATCTGCTGCTGTTGCCGCCGCTGCCATTTGCCGGGTTTCCATAAATGGTCGGGTTTTATTATTATGCTCTCGGCCGAGGTTAAAATGTCACCAGTTATATGTAAATTGCGCAGGGGGCATATTATATTATATATGCGAGGACGAATATGTGCTGTGTTCACGTGCTCATTATAGAGTGAACCTCTACCGCAACTATTGGTCCCCGTCAAGGGCGCGGTGGACTTGCATCTTCACACACGCGGAGGTGCACATACGTATAAATGCACTCTATAAGACACTAGCACAACAAAACAAAACCCGCGTCGCATCTTTGTGTACAATCTTTAAATACCGCCGGTCATTTTATTCACTCGCAATGTAACACAGCAGCCGCTTTGCTATTTTACCTATACAGTACCTATGTATAAAGGTGTATACATTAGTTATAAATCGTTTTGCATTTTAAATGGTAATACTAATGACTAATAATAAGTGTTAGGCCGCAGGCGACTGTATTCAAATTTACAAGCGTCCCTACTAAAAGTATAGCGAGTTGTGAAGTGGTTTGACCGTCAAGAAGATCACTTGTAACAATTATTAACAGTTTTACGTGCTTTAAATATATAAAATACATTATATA